ATATGCATTATGTAATCTTTGTATTTATTTGGTATTTGGTTTCTATTGTTTCTAATAGTTCTTTCAGGCTTGCTATGGTTATCATGCAAATATCTAGCTTCCTTTTTTGTTAATGTGTCTGTCTTTATTTTATGCTGACTATTAGTCCAAGTTTTGGTTTTGTTCTTACTTTTGTTAATATTTTGATTTTCTGTTGTTCCTTCCTCGCAAGATATCGTATCTTTACATTTATTAGGAAATATTTCATTAAGGTGCAATTTTGACCAATTGGCCTGTTCATGGAACACAGCTGTTCTGGATACTATAAATTTGTTATTACTATCAATAAATCTGTACCCTTTGGTTCCAGTTTCGTATCCCATGAATCTTAATCTCCTGGATACGTTTTCTCCCTTTCTCCTCAATTGTTTAGGTATGTGTACGTCTGCAGTGACTCCAAATATGTGCATGTGTGATAATTTGGGTTTTCTATTGTACATCACCTCATATGGTGTCTTATTCACAATACTGGACCAGGTTCTATTTTGAGTGTAATTCGAATAATGTAATGCCTCTGACCAAAATTGTTTGCCTAAACCAGCATCCTCTAATGTGCACCTAATCATGGTTTGTAGTGTGGAATTTTTCCTCTCTGCAACTCCATTTTGAAATGCAGAAAAAGGATTGGACGTGAAATGTAACATTCCTCTATCCTTTAACCATTGGGAGAATTCTTTAGACATGAACTCACATCCCCTATCTGTCATAATTTGCTTTATTCTGATATTATGTTGTGTTTCTATACGTTTGTAGAATTCCTTAAATTTCTGAAATGTTTCATCCTTGTGCTTTAATGTGTAAACAAAACCATATCGGCTGTAGTCATCCACTATTGTTAGGAAGTAACGTTTTCTATAGGTAATTGAGGGACTTAATGGACCAACTAAGTCCATATGTACCAAATCAAAAATATTGTTAGTTGATCTGTTAGATTTTTTTGGTCTGGGACTGGTTTTTAGTTTGGTGGACTTACATACTGAGCATTCCAAATAATTTTCACAATTTTTTATTTTGACACCTTCTGCGTGTTCAGTCATTTTTTGTACTACAGGAAAGCTTGCATGTCCTAACTTCCTGTGTAAGATGTGAGCACACTCATCATGAATTGGTTTACCTATTTTTGGTTTCTTTTCCTTGTATGTGTTTTTGTGATCATGAGTTATTCTACACTCATCATTGTCACTGTTACTGACATTTTCATCATCTGCTTCAATACAATCTTCCATATTTGAATCAATGTTATGTAAACATCTTTCTTTAGTTATCAGATAGGGTAGACCTCCTTTTATCATTACAGTACCTACATTTGTTTTGTTCTTTTCTATAGTTGCTTTCCCCTTTGAGAAAACTATATTGATATCAGATTCTCTGCTTAATTTTATGGCACTTAGTATGTTGTGAGGTATTTCTGGGATTAATAATACCCCCTCTATTTTCCCTAGACCAGGCAAGGTCACATTTCCTTTGCCTAGTACTTGAACCTTTTCTTGATTAGCTACCTTTATCACAAACTTATCTTCTATAAATGAAGATAATATACTTTTGTTGTTGGTGGTGTGATTTGTTGCACCAGAATCAATAAGCCAATTGTTATTCTCATCCTGCTGTGTTCTGGTGCTGTCTTGTTTATTTAGCCCATTCAGTGACCCAGATTTCCTCTCTTTTGAATTTTCTCTACCCCCTCTACCTTCTTTGTAATTTGGTGGGCTTCTATATTTGTGTCTATCTGTGGAAGATTGTCTGTAATTATATTTGCTCCTATATTCTGGTCTATGTCTCTCTCTTGAGACTTTGGGGCAGTCTCTTCTACTATGTTCCCTGGATCCACAATTGTAGTATCTAAAGGCCTCATTATGTTTATCTTGAAAGACTACTTTCCTAAAAGGTTTGTGGTCTGTTTGGTTACTGGATCGATTTTTTCTTGAATTGTCTTCTGCTATCAATTTGTTAGATAGACTTTCTATGGATAAATATCCCAAATTAATGGTATCTAAGTGTGACATAAAGCTATCCCATGATGGATCAAGTGAATTGATAATAACACTTTTCATTGTTTGATCTGAAATCACTTCCCCCCTCAATTGTAGCTCAGCTCTTATTTTGTTTAGATTTATCAAATGCTCACTTATAGAAACCCCTGGTTTTACTCTAGAGGAAAAGAAATCCTTAGACATTCTTGTGGTTGTAGCTACGCTATCGCTGTGAAATAGATTAAACATGCATTGAATTATTTCTGATACAGTTAGGTTTGGTTTGATGCTATGATACATTGCAGGAGACACGCTAGATATTATTATGAAAAATGCTCTATGATGTAAACAATCTATTTTTAAAGTCCAAGGTCTTCTTGGAGGGCTAGTTATAAAGAATAGTAAATTTTCTTTCATGAAAATAACCTGAAGCTGTTGATACCACTCTTGTAAATTAATGCCATCAATTCTAAGTTTTGGGAAGTCACTGGGTAAGTTACCTACATTATTCTGTCCATTACTTACAACCTGGGGCAGTCCGTGATCTCTCAAGTGCAGGAAATTACAGAACGGCATTGGGATGCTTGCAATGAGTCTGCGCGGTTCTCTGGCCAGTTCAAGTCCTTCTGGGTCGTCTACGTAGTTTCGCACATGCGCGTTGTTCATTTCTTCTTTGGTGGCGTCGTGGAAGGTTTTCTCCCTTTCAGCTCTCTCGATCCGCTCCTCCTCAGATGAGTCGGTCTCTGGCTCGGTTTTTGGGGTTCTGGTGGTGGTGACGGTTCTTTTCTTCTTTTTGTGTGCGTTGGTATTCGATTTTGTCTGTGGTGTAGGGCGAAATCGGCATGGCTCTCTGGGCTCGGGCGTCGTCGCTTTCGAAGTCAGGATGGGAGCGTGCAGGTCTTGAGTCGCCGGTTTGATTTCTTGCTTCTTCGTAGATGTCTTGGTAATTTTCAGTCTTGGCCCAAAAGCAGCAAAAAGCGTTTTCATTGCTGATTTTACTTGAGATTTTGTTAAATCGTCTTCACTTTCTGATTTTGGATCATCTGAAGAGTTTGAGACTTCTTTCTCACTTTCTTCGTCTGATAGTGTTTTTCGCGCCAGAAATTTTGAACTGAGCGTTTTGATTGGCTCTGCTCCATTCTCTTTTAAAGTTCGTTGAAACCAAGATGGCTGCCATTCAAAATTTCGCGCGGGATCACATCTTTTCTTTTTAACAACTATTTTCTCAGTAGTCATCTCACTTACGATTTTTTGATCTTTGGGTTTTTCTTTAATGACGTTTTTCTCTCTCGCTGCTCCGCTGTTCTTCAGCATCTCCTGGAGGTCTGCGATGAGACTTTCATCATTCTTTTGGCTTTTTAGTATCTTTAATATCTCTGACCTGAGTTCGTTATTTTCTATTTCGATTTCTTTCTGGTCATTATTTTCACTCATTAGTTCTTCTTCTTCAGTGGTGTATTCTTCGGATTCTCTCGAAATCGCATTGGTGGATTCGTTGATCATCTCTTGATCAGTTTCTATTTCTTTGCTGTAGGCCCTGGTGTTGGGCCTATCTTTCTTGGACATTTTTAATTACTTATTGAGTCAATTAACCATCCTCTGCTACCAGCTTGTTGCAATATTTTCAGGATCAGACTCAATAAAGATAATAGAAGTTAAAGCTTTAAATATATTTCTTTTTAATTATGATAGGCATTCTATATTCACTGAATATTCAAGGTAGAAGCGACGAGAATGGTGAGGGTGGCTCCTTATATATACAAGGGGTGGAGCTAGGAATGGGAGTGGTAAGTTATGAATACATTAAAGTCCAAAGAATAAGTTAACCTCTGATGTTCCATATATACATTATTTACACATTGGAGAATAAGGCATTTACATCTGACAAAGTCCAAGTGTCGGAGTCTGAGAAACTCTTAATTTAGGCCTTTACTTGAGAGCCACTGATCATGAGAAGAGTTGGGTAGCCAGGATCTCAATCCCCTCCAAGGTGGCTGAGGGGCATTTCTGCCTTTCTTTGTGCTGACCAAGTGCAGGATCAGCCCCAGAGGAGGAGAAGGGTCAGAGCAGCTTCTGGGGAAAGTGAAGGGGGAGATTCAGAGGAAATCTGGTGCATTGCAAAGGTCCTTGAAGGAGAGTTTGAGGGCCCTAATTGGGTTGCTGAAAGGAAGAAATCTTGGTTTAATCAGAGTGAGATTTTCTGTGGAAGGAGGAGGAGCCCCTCTGAGTCCTGGGTTCAAAAGCCGATTCTTGCTCAGATGGCTGAACTCTGGGAGGGGAGGGGGGATTTTCCAGCGGGGGGGGACAGGAGGAAGATCTGGGGGGCTAAGTCACTCCATTGCTCCTTCCTTCCCTCCCCCCTTTGCATTTCCCCATTTGGGTTTCCCCCAAAGGATCCCATGGCCTCTGGTCTCACCCGGATTCCCCCTCCCCCATTTTATAAAACCCCTCGCCAAATCTGCATCTGTTAACAGTCCAGGTTGGCCTTCAGTGAAGTCAGGATGGGGTTTTTTTCCCCTGTGAATGGAAAGGAGGGGGGACCAGGGGGGGTTTCCTGCTGCTTTTGAGCTTCTGGGAGGGTGGAATCCCCCCTTTTACCTGTGCAGCCATTGCAGCTTCCTTGGGGCAGAGGCTGAGCAACCCAGAAGGGGGTTTGAGGGAGGCCTTGCTAGAAGGGGGGAGGGCACAATTGGGGCAGGTAAAGTTTGGGGGACCCTCCCCTCCCCTCCTCTCTCACCCCCCCACCTTCCCTTCCCTCCAACCCTTCAGGCCCTCCAGAAGCTCCTTTTTTCCCCTCTCAGTCGCTCCCTCATTTCCATCTCCTGCCTCTTCTTCCACCATCTCCCCCTTCCTTCCCCCCTTCCTCCTCTGCCCCCCAACTCTCCTCCTCTTCCTCTTCCTTCTTTCCCCCAGTGCCTCAGATGGGAGCCTCCATGGGATCAGGGTCCTTGACTGGAGCCCCCAAACATTTCCCCTCTGGCTCCCTTCCAGGCGCCTCCTCCCACTCCCTGAAGTATTTTCTCAGCTCCATCTCGGACCCCAGTCAGGGGCTGCCCCACTTTGTCTCTACGGGGTTTGTGGATGGTCAAATCTTAGATCACTATGACAGCCACACCCGGAAAGTGCAGCCTCGAGTCTCCTGGATGGAGAAGTTTGGGAAGGAGGATCCCCAGTACTGGGACAGAGAGACCCAGAAGGCACGTGGCAATGAGGAGATGTTCAGAAGAAGCCTGGAGATTCTGAGGAGTCGCTACAATCAGAGCGAAGGTGAGTGATGGGTCGGGTGGCTCCACCGGCCCCATAATCCCCTCCCCAGGAACCAGAGGGGGGGGAAAGAAATGGGTCCCTTCAAAGGGAAAGGCTGCTTCCACACCTTTTAAAAAGTCTTTTTTTATACGTTTATTCTTTTTTAAAAAATCATGTTGCAATATTTTCAGGATCAGACTCAATAAGATCAACAAGAGTTAAAGATTTAACTATATATTCTTTTATTTACATTAGGCATTCTATATTCACTGAATATTCACAGATAGAAGCAAGGGAAATGGTGTAGGTAGCTCCTTATATATACAATGGGTGGAGCTATATGTGGGAGTGGTGAATTATGAATACATTAAGAAGTGAAGAATAAGTTAACCCCTGATACCCTGTCTGTACACTATTTACACATTGGAGAATAAGGCATTTACATCTGACAAATCCCCCTCTAAATGCCGATTCGTTATACAACACCAGTTACATTCAGATTCAGGACAATACAAAACATACAACTTAGAGGTTAAGTATTTATGCTGTTTAGAAGGTAAAGGCTTCGTTAATATATCAGCTAATTGTTCTGAAGTGTCGCAATGCACTGCTTTAATAAATCCATCCTGAGATAATTGTCTTACATGTTTAAATTTTATATCTATATGTCTGGACCTTTGTCCAATGGCATCAGATCTAGATATTTCAATGGCTGCTTTATTGTCTTCATGCATAACAAAAGGCAGAGCAGGTTTTTTCCAGACATCTGAAATTAAATCATTAAACCATACAAGATTATTTGCGGCCTTGGATAAACAAACATATTCCGCTTCTGTTGTTGAAGTAGCCACTAGTTCTTGTTTACCAGTGTACCAGTAAACTGGACAGTCATTTAAGAGAAATACATAACCAGATGTGCTTTTTCTGCATGAGGTGTCTCCAGCCCAATCTGCATCTGCATAACACGTAAGCTTTGGTTCTTTAATATCATTAGGTTCTAACATTAAACAAAAGTCTAGTGTGCTTTTTAAATATCTTAAAATTCTTTTAACAGCTTCCCAGTGGTACATCGTTGGTTTGCTGACATGCCTGGATAATAAATTGAGTGGTAAAGCGATGTCCGGTCTAGTCCAATTAGATATGTAAAGGAGTGAACCTATGATTGATCTATAGAATGTATTGTCCTTGAACTCGGGAGAAGATTCATCAGAATTCCTTAGAAAGTCAGTTTGCATAGGGGTATCACAAGGTTTGGCATTGTTTAAGTTGCATTTATTTAAAAGATCTATGATCTTATCTCTCTGGGTAAGTTTGAATCCCCTTTTTGTTTTATTAATTTGGACACCAAGGTATTTGTTTACCTTGCCTAAAGATTTCAATGAGAAGTGTTCATTTAGTTTAGTTACAAAAGTTTCTCTTCTTTCTTTATGTTTTCCTATGTATAAAATGTCATCCACATAAATCAATACAAATTCAATATAATCATCACCCCTCTTGATAAAGAAACAATTATCAGCAGTGGTAGCGTTGAAGTCCATGGTCTTAAGTACTTTTACTAAACAATCATACCACCGTTTACCAGATTGTTTTAGCCCGTATAAACTCTTGTTTAACAACCAAGTCTCATTTCTGTTTGTGTATGGACTATGAGGTGCTCTCACGTATATTTCTTTATCTAATTTTGCGTGTAGGTACGCAGTCTGTATGTCATATTGGAATACATCTAGATTGAGTGCTGAAGCTACCACTAGAGCTGTTTTGACACTCTCTGTTCTTACAGTGGGGGAATACGTGTCAGTATAGTCCTCTGGATATTTCTGTGCATAACCCTGTGCAACCAATCTAGCTTTGTATAGAGTATTTCCTCCCTCTAAATTCTTAATTTTATATATCCATCTGGTACCAATAATTGTCTTATCTTTAGGCGCAGATGTAGGTGTAAATACATTTAGTCCTTGTAAACTTTCCATCTCCTTCTTCATTGCTAATTCCCATTTTTCTTTTTCTTCGTGAGGAAGTTTTAACACTTCCTCGTATGTATTGGGTGTTGTTAGTTCACCATTCATGTGCATTACATAATCCTTGTATTTATTTGGCATTTGATTTCTGGTGTTTCTAATGATTTTCTCGGGTTTACTATCGTTATCATGCAAATATCTTGCTTCCTTTTTTGTTAGTGTATCTGTCTTTATTTTGAGTTGGCTATTTGTCCAAGTTTTGGTTTTGTTTTTATATTTGTTGATATTTTGTTTTTCTATAGTCCCTTTCTCATGAGATTTTGTATCTTCATGTTTATTTGGGAATATCTCATTAAGATGTAATTTAGACCAGTTAGCTTGTTCATGGAACACAGCTGTTCTGGAGACTATAAATTTGTTGTTACTATCAATGAATCTGTATCCTTTAGTGCCAGTCTCATATCCCATAAATCTGAGTCTCCTGGACACATTTTCTCCCTTTCTTCTTAATTGTTTAGGTATGTGTACGTCTGCTGTGACTCCAAATATATGCATGTGTGCTAATTTTGGTTTTCTATTATACATCACTTCATATGGTGTCTTATTTATAATGCTGGACCATGTTCTATTTTGTGTGTAATTTGAATAATGTAAGGCTTCTGACCAGAATTGTTTGCTTAAGCCAGCATCTTCCAATGTGCATCTAATCATGGTTTGTAATGTGGAATTTTTTCTCTCTGCAATCCCGTTTTGGAACGGAGAAAATGGACTAGATGTGTAATGTAACATTCCTTTGTCTTTTAACCATTGTGAGAATTCTTTAGACATGAATTCGCACCCTCTGTCTGTCATAATTTGTTTTATTTTGATGTTGTGTTGTGTTTCTATGCGTTTGTAAAATTCTTTAAATTTTTGAAATGTTTCATCTTTGTGTTTTAGTGTGTAAACAAATCCATAGCGGCTATAATCGTCCACTATTGTCAGGAAGTAACGTTTCCTATAAGTGATTGATGGAGTTAATGGACCAACTAAGTCCATGTGTACTAAATCAAAAATTTTGTTAGTTGATCTGGTAGATTTTCTTGGCCTGGGACTAGTTTTTAGTTTTGTAGATTTACATACTGAGCATTCCAGATAATTTTCACAATTCTTTATTTTAACACCTTCTGCGTGTTCAGTCATTTTTTGCACTACAGGAAAACTGGCATGTCCTAACTTCCTATGCAATATGTGAGCACACTCATCATGAATTGGTTTACCTATCTTTGGCTTCTTATCGTTGTGTGCATCTGTGTGATCATGAGATATTTTACATTCATCATTGTCACTGTTGCTAACATTCTCATCATCTATTTCAATACAATCTTCCATATTTGAATCAATGTTATGTAACCATTTTTCTTTTGTTATTAGGTAAGGTAGTCCTCCTTTAGTCACCACAGTGCCTACATTTATTTTATTCTTTTCCAAAGTTGCCTTTCCTTTTGAAAAGACAATGTTAATGTCAGAATCTCTGCTTAGTTTTATGGCACTTAATATGTTATGAGGTATTTCAGGTATTAGTAATACCCCCTCTATTTTTCCTAAACCAGGCAAGGTTACATTTCCTCTACCTAATACTTGAACCTTTTCTTGGTTAGCAACCTTAATTACAAATTTATCTTCTGCAAATGAAGACAATATACTTTTGTTATTAGTGGTGTGATTAGTTGCTCCAGAATCAATAAGCCAATTATTGTTCTCACTTTGTTGTGTGTTAGTGTTGTCTTGTTTATTTAATCCATTCAGTGAACCAGACTTTCTATCCTTTGAATTGTCTCTGCCCCCTCTATTCTCTCTGTGATTTGGTGGGCTCCTATATCTATGCCTTTCTATGGAAGGCTGTCTATAATCGTATTTGTTTCTGTATTCTGATCTATATCTTTCTTTTAAGAATTTTGGGCAATCTCTTCTATTGTGTTCCCTGGATCCACAATTATGACATTTAAATGTTCCACTATATTTTTCTTGGAAAGCTACTTTCCTATATGGTTTATGTTCTGTGTGATTGTTAGAACGATTCCTTCTAGAATTATCTTCTGTTATCAATTTGTTAGATAGACTTTCTATGGATAAATACCCTAGATTGATTGTGTCTAAATGTGACATAAAATTGTCCCATGATGGGTCAAGTGAGTTGATAATGACACTTTTCATTGTTTGGTCTGAAATCACTTCCCCCCTCAAATGCAGTTCAGCTCTTATTTTGTTCAAAGATATTAAATGTTCACTTATGGAAACCCCTGGTTTTATCCTAGATGAAAAGAAGTCTTTAGATATCCTTGTGGTGGTGGCTACACTGTCACTGTGAAACAAATTAAACATGCATTGAATAATTTCTGAAACAGTCAAATTTGGCTTAATGCTGTGATACATTGCAGGAGACACACTAGATATTATTAAGAAAAAAGCTCTATGGTGTAAGCAATCTATTTTTAGTGTCCAAGGTCTTTTTGGGGGACTAGTGATAAAAAACAGTAAGTTTTCCTTCATAAAGACAACCTGGAGCTGTTGATACCATTCTTGTAAATTAATGCCATCAACCCTTAGTTTTGGGAAGTCACTGGGTAAATTTCCGACATTATTGGGTCCATTACTTACAACCTGAGGTAGTCCGTGGTCTCGTAAATGCAGAAAATTGCAAAACGGCATGGGGATGCTCGCTACGAGTCTGCATGATCTTCTCTCCTGTTCATGTCTTCCCGGATCGTCAGCGTAGTTTCGCGCATGCGCGTTGTCCATTTCTTCTTCGGCGTCGTCGTGGAAGGTTCTCCTCATTGCGGCCCGCTCGCTCTGCTCCTCTTCAGATGAGTCGGTCTCTGGTTCGACTTTGGGGGTTCTGGCGACGGTGGCTGTTCTTCCTCTTCTATTGAACGCGTTGGTGCTTGCTTCGGTCTGCGGCGTAGGGCGGTATCGGCAGGGCTCTCTGGGTTCCGGCGTCAGCGTTCTAGTAGTCAGGATGGGAGCGGGCAGGTCTTGAGGCATTGGCTTGCTCGTTCGCTTTTTTAGTGTCTTTTTAGTAATTTTCAGTTTTGGCCCAAATGCAGCAAAGAGCGTTTTCATCGCTGATTTTATTTGGTGTTTTGTTGGATCTTCCTCGCTTTCTGGTTCTGATTCTTCTGAGGTGTTTGAATCTTCCTTTTCGTTTTCGTTGTCCGATAATATTTTTCGCGCCAGAAATTTTGAATTGAGATTGCTGATTGGCTCTTCTTCGTTCATCTTGGAGGCCGGTTGAAACCAAGATGGCCGCCATTCAAATTTTTGCGCGGGATCATCGTTTTTCTTCTTTGTAATGATTTTCTCCGCAGTCATATTACTCACTATTTTTGGATCTTTGGGTTTTTCATTGGTGATGTTTTTCTCTCTCGCTGCTCCGCTGTTCTTTAGCATATCTTGGAGGTTCGCGATGAGGCTTTCATCATTCTTCTGGCTTTTTAATAGTTTTAATATCTCTGACCTGAGTTCGTTATTTTCTATTTCGATTTCCTCCTGGTCATCAATTATTTCTTCGTCTTCAGTGGTGTATTCTTCGGATTCTCTCGAAATTGCATTCGTGGATTCGTTGATTATTTCTTGTTCCGTTTCCATTTCTTTGCTGTAGGCCCTGGTGTTGGGCCTATCTTTCTTATACATTTTAAAGCTTTTTATTGAGTCAATTAACCATCCTCTGCTACCAGTTTGTTGCAATATTTTCAGGATCAGACTCAATAAGATCAACAAGAGTTAAAGATTTAACTATATATTCTTTTATTTACATTAGGCATTCTATATTCACTGAATATTCACAGATAGAAGCAAGGGAAATGGTGTAGGTAGCTCCTTATATATACAATGGGTGGAGCTATATGTGGGAGTGGTGAATTATGAATACATTAAGAAGTGAAGAATAAGTTAACCCCTGATACCCTGTCTGTACACTATTTACACATTGGAGAATAAGGCATTTACATCTGACAAATCAATATAAGTTTCTCATTCCCTCCATAGCTGACATTTTCTGCCAATTGCAGTTAATAAAAAGATGTTTAAATTTATCCATCTGTCTTTCTGAATATTGATATGGATATGGATATAAACTGAGGTAAAAAGAGACCGAAATCTCCCCTCCCCCCATGAAAGATGGACGATCTGGCCTTGGGGGATCTCCTGCTGTGGGGGAGGAAGGGAATCACAGATCTTCCCACACCAAAAAAAAAAACAGGCAGGTGGATCCTAAGGAGATCCTGGGGGAAGCAGGTCCTCGTCCTTCTGTCTGTTTCCACCCCAGAGAAATGAGGGATCGAGTGCAGATCCACCTGGGGAGACTAGATCCCTTTCCTTCTCCCCCTTTTTGGAGGGGCGAGTGGGGCCCAAATGCCAGGAGCTTCTTCTCACCCTCCAGTTGGAAGGAGAGGCCGGGAGGACCAAATGGGGGGCTGGGGGCTTTTGTGGGGGGGGATCTCAGGGCCAGGATCCTCCCAATCTTCATGGGGAAGAGACGGAAAAGAAAGAAACCTCCATTTGGGGCCCTTCCAGAGTCTCTCAGAGCCTTCATGGCTTCCCATCCTTGGTCCCTCAGGCTGAACTCCTGCACGGTCCTCTTGGTGGGGCTGCCCTGGAGGGAGGGAGACTCTTTCTTCTGCAGCCCCCCCTTCTGCCATCTTTGGGGGACAAGATTCACCTCCAAGGAACCTTATTTGGGGAGGGTCTGCAAGGAAATGTGTGTGTAAAGAGAGGCTGCTTTTGGCTGAAGAAAAGCTTCTCCACAAACAGGAGCCATTTTCCCTCCTTTCATCCCAAGGAGCTGCAGCCCCCCCAATTCTTCCTCCCTTTCCTTGCCCCTCCCCCTCTACCGGTGACCCCCAGAGCTCTGCCAGTTCTGCCCCTGATCCCCCAGGATCTCCCCAGATCCCTCCAGGCCCCCTGCTGGCCTCTCAGGGGAGCAGAGCTGGACCCAGAGGGCTCCCCCTGGTGGAGGAAGGAGGAAGGAGACCGGCCAGAGTGGAGGGGAGCCTCCTTTCCAGGCTCAACGGCCCCAAATGTCCCAACCTTTCCTCAAAGGGAGGCTGCTTCCTCCCTCCCATCACCTCAGTCGCCTCCTCTGGACCTTCTCGGGCTCCCTCCTCTCCTTTTGGAGGTCTGTTCACCAGAAACTGCAGACAATATTCCAGATGTGGCTGCACCCTTGATTTTTTTTTTAAAAAAATTGATTTATATGCTGCCCTTCTCCGGAGACTCAGGGCGGTTTACAATGCGTTAAGCAATAGCCTTCATACTTTTGTATATTTATACAAAGTCAGCTTATTGCCCCCACAAACTGGGTCCTCAATTTACCTACCTTAGAAAGGATGGAAGGCTGAGTCAGCCTTGAGCCTGGTGAGATTCGAACTTACAGTAATTGCAGACAGCTGGTGTTAATCACAATGCTATCAGTCTGCTGAGCCACCAGGCCCGTTTGCTCTAAGGCTTTGTGATATTAGCCTGTGTTTTCAATACCATTTTAATGATCGCTGACATCCTCTTGGTCTTTTTAATTTTTTAATATAATTTGTATTAAACCTTTTAAACAAAAGATAAAAACTAATAGAAGGTAACATAAAGAAAAGATGATAAAGAAATCAAAGAAAAATTTAAAAAGTACAAGAAAAGAAAACAATTGAAGAAAATAAAGAAAAAAGACATAAAGAAGTGGCTTCTGATATTCTTCACAGTGGTTCTAAATATTACTACATTTTAGCCCCTCTAAAGCAGCTTTTCTTCATCTTTTGGCCCTGAAAGAACTCTTGAACTATTTTTCAGACCTCAGGAAACCCCTGAAGATCCAGGCTCAGAGATCGGCTGAAATTGTTTCATGCATAGACCTTTGAGATGCATTAATAGTGTTCTTACACGAACAATAAAAAAATGAAACTTGCCTTTTCAACGTGATCCCTGTGCTTTCTTTTTACTGCACAAATATTCAGTTCTGTGCCAAACTTGAAATAAGAACACATTTCACCTTCAAGTGAAATAAGACAATTTCTGTCTTAGCTTTTGATGCTTCTGAAGTACGACAGAGCTTGTTCCCAGAAGTTGAAAACTGCTGCCACATGTTCAGGGCCTTCCTGTGAATGGCAGGAGATTAATCTTGGGCAGAAATCCAGAACTATTTTTCCCATGGGGAGATCAGGGAATCTCCTCTCGAGAGCAGGATCAGATTGCAGCTCACGAGGTTCTTCCTCTTCCTCCAAAGGGAAGTTTGCTGGCTGAGCAGAAGATGCAGAGAAAGGATGCTTCACCTGTCATTCCTGGGTGTGGAAAGGGAGGGAAAGGACTGGTCAGTTTAGTTCAACTGTCCTTACAGGAGGTTTTCCATTAGATTTGAGAATTCCTGGCGTCCTTCCTCCCTCTCAAGCCCAGACAGGAATAGAAACATTTCAAGATTTCCTTTTGGTTTTTTCAAACATTCAGTTTTCGTTTAAATCCAAGAATCTGTTCACTCGAAGTTGAAATATCTTCTCCAGGGCCTTGCAGAGACTGTGAACTTCAAACTTCATTTCAAAGGTTAATAACCCTTTGGGTCTCCAGATCAGACTGGGCCACTTGCTGCTGTTGCTAAGAAAAATATTCCTTTGTGGCCCTTCAAGGCTTCATTCCCACATTGCATTAAACCATGGTTTGTTTCTGGTTAGCCCAAAGTGGGAACCAGCCTTTGTGACTTGGTGCTATTTGTGAAGGTAGACCAAGATTTATGGTCACAGAGATCCCTGCAAGCTTTTGTGTAGATCAACCAGATTCTCTTTGAGGCCATGAGATTCTCAGTCCCTCTTTGCAGCCGCAGATTCAGGCAATTGTTCCCTCTCTGGCATCCCTTCCTTTCCCTCCCCCCTCCCCCGAGAAATGGTAGAAGGAAAGATGGAAGGGATTTCTGTCCCTCTGTTTCTTCTGTGACTCCTTCTTTTCTCGGTCTCCCTTGGGATCCTCTGCTGGCTTTTCCAGCTTCGCTTTTTCCTGGGGAGGTTCAGGGGCTCCATCCTGGGAGGGAAAATGTAGGGAGACGGGTTGAGGGAGGGGAGAAGGGCGGTTAGTGATGGAGTCTTTCTTTCCCTTGATTGTTAGGGAGGAAATGGGGGAATCAGTGCCTCCCTCCAGTGTCACAGTCCCTGCAGGGAGGGGGATCTCTGTTTATCTTGAGTTCTCCCCAAACCATCATCTTCTCCCTCTTTCAGGACTTCACATAATACAGGTGATGTATGGCTGTGAGCTCCGGAGAGACGGGAGCAAAGGAGGGTTTAACCAGCATGGCTACGATGGGAGGACCTTCCTCACCTTTGACAAGGAGACCCTCACCTGGGTGGCTCCCGATCCTCTGGCCCAGATCACCCAGAGGAAATGGGATGCTATTCCAGGAAAGAATCAGAGACATAAGGCCTACCTGGAGGAAATCTGCATTGAGTGGCTGGAGAAGCACCTGTCCTATGGGAATGAGACCCTACTCAGGAGAGGTGAGTATCTCAATCCAGGCTGGACTTTCCACCTTTACGGTTGGATTTCTTGTGCACATTCAGCCCTTTTGGGTCCCTTGTGCGGAGCCTGTTTGCCCTGGTGGGAATCCTCCTCCTCCCCTCCCAGCACCTCTCCAGGACATGGGAAGAACTGATTGGTTCCTATTGCCAGGCAGCCGTTCAATGCACCAGGAAATGCAGCCTCTGCCTTGCAGGCATCTATATGGATCAGGCAGAAAAGGATTTAAGGGTATCCTGTTCACTGCCCACAGTGAGGCCACCATTTGGGGTTCTTCAATGAAATAACCCAAACTGTAGCCAAGAGTGGTGGGCAACCTTAATTTCCTCCCACTAACTCTCCTTCCCCCCACATCTCACAGAAGGCTCCCTCCCAGTCTCGTCCCTGATGGTGCACCTCCCACGCCCATCACTGGGGGGCTCCACTTCTACCATTAATAAGACACTAGCAGTGCCCCCACTTGGGCAAAAAGGCCCATGAATGAGGGGTTCTTTTCTTTCTGAGGGAGGAGCAAAGTTTCTGTCAATCTTTCTCTTAAACCTCAAACAGGTTCCCACAATTCTTAGTCCGCCTTTCCTAAAAACAACCCCCTCCCCACCTTCAGGAACACCCCTCATCCCACAGGGGGGCTCACATTATAATCTTTTCATAGAAATTTTTATTAATGTACCATCTAGAACACCCCTCTCGCCTAGATCTACCCCTTCCCCTCTGGGACCCTTGATCCCTCCAGGATCAGCTGGATGAAATTAGGATCAATGGGAAACTCCATACACACCCCACTGATGATTGCCAACAGGCAGCCCCTCCCTTCCCAGGGAGGACCTTCTCTCTCTTCCATTGGCATCACCTCTCTCTGTCCCCCCCCCCTTTCAGAGATCAAATCTCTTTTCCAAATTGATCAGTGTGAGATTCCCTTTGAGCTCTCTTCCTCTTAAAATTGTGGTTGTGTTGCTTAGAAAGAGGCCTCGAGCAGCCTCAGATTCAGGGGAGCAGAAGAGGATGCAAAAAGTAGGGTGAAACTTCTATTTGTTGTTGTTTTGAAAGGGAACTTAAAAGAGCATCTCCACTATCCCTCCCCTGAAGGGAGCAGCCCAAGATCAGTCAGAGTTGAAAGCAATCAGAGTGAAATTTTCTTGGACCTTCAATTGGCTGCTGGAGGTTTTTCAGGCTGAGTCTCTGGGAAGGACTCAAAATCAGGAGTTCTTGTGGTTGAGGATTTTTGAGATTGAGAGCATTTCCCAAAACTCTTGGAGATGCAGCATGTGTGGAGTGGGAAGTAGTGGGAGATTTTCCTGCCCCTCCAGGATTCCCACCCACCTTCCAGGCTCTGGAGGGGCTCAGAGTTAATTCCTGTGTTTCTGCAGAGCCTCCGATGGTGACGATGAGCAGCAGATCAGAGACTGAGGATGGGATGGAGACGCATGTCTGCCGTGTGGATGGTTTCTACCCGAGGGAGATCGATGCTTCCTGGAGGAGGGATGGGGAGGTCTGGCTGGATGACACTCTCCGCGGGTTTCTGGCCCCCAATGCGGATGGGACCTACCACTACTGGCTCAGCATCCAGATCGATCCCAAAGAGAGGGACCGCTATCGATGCCACGTGGAGCACGACAGCCTGCAGGAGCCTCTGGATGTGGCCCTGAAGGGTGAGAGGCTGCAGGGAGGGAAAGGCTGGGCTCTTTGGCAGCCTGGAGGGTTGTGGGAGAGAAATCTGACCCCAGCTGTGTCCAGGTGTGAGCATACCTGAATTTTAAGACATTGGTTTTTCCAGTGTTTGAGGTTGGTGAAGCTGCAAGGACCAGACCATAGAACTGACTTCAGGTGATGGAAACTACAGAATCCCATCACAATACTTGGCCGATCCTGATGAAATGCCCTTAGATCCTCTCTGAGGCCTTCCCTGTTTCTTGCCCCCAACAGAAAAGCAGCAGTTCCTCTGAGCACCAGAAAGAGATTTCCTTTTGTTTACAGTTCCTAAAGTACAAGAATCAGGAGGAGTCTGGCAGCCCCTTTTCTGAAGGCAAATTCTGATTAAAACGGATGAACTGCAGCTGAGTTCAGGAAATGCAGAGAGTAGCTGGACTGATGCTTCAGGAGTCAGAAAAGAAAGTACCAAAGTCTGAGTTTTTTCCCATTAGAGACTAACAGGATTTCCTGCTTTAAAGGTCAAAAGGTCACTCTGTGTTGCTGCTCTAAGAAAGAAGCTCCACATTATTTTATGATACGATACATGAATTCCCGAGGCTCAGCATAAAACCCAAGGAAAAGATCCCTCTCTCATAAGCGTCCCTAATGTTTTTTACACTGGACGTCCACATTTGCAAAATTCAAATTCTAATTTTTTTATTGATGATTGTCACCACGATACAAGAAATATTCAAATGTAATTGTTATGCTGATATCCCAGGGAAAATTTATTACATGTATTTAAATATTTGTTTTATTTTTCTGGTTGTTTATAGCAAGCATCAATTCACAAGTGGCCTGATTGCTATTCAATGGGAATCCTGAATTTTGTGCAAGAGAAATTTAAATTTGAAGTTCCCTCCTCAAACCTGCCCCCCCTCCCCAAGCAATACCAATTTATGATGCTTTGCTAAGACCATACTTGGAATTCTTCACCCAGTTTTGGTCGCCACAATATAGAAAAGATGTGGAGACTCTGGAAAGAGTGCAGAGAAGAGCAAGAAAGAGGATTAGGAGCCTGGAGGCTAAAATATATGAAGAGCAGTTGCAGGAATTGGGCATGTCTAGTTTAAGGAAAAGAAGGACGAGGGAAGACATGATACGTTCCAATATCTCAGGGGCTGCCACAAAGAAGAGGGAGTCAAGCTTGTTGCAATATTTTCAGGATCAGACTCAATAAAGATAATAGAAGTTAAAGCTTTAAATATATTTCTTTTTAATTATGATAGGCATTCTATATTCACTGAATATTCAAGGTAGAAGCGACGAGAATGGTGAGGGTGGCTCCTTATATATACAAGGGGTGGAGCTAGGAATGGGAGTGGTAAGTTATGAATACATTAAAGTCCAAAGAATAAGTTAACCTCTGATGTTCCATATATACATTATTTACACATTGGAGAATAAGGCATTTACATCTGACAAATCCCCCTCTAAATGCCGGTTCGTTACACAACACCAATTACATTCTGATTCAGGACAATATAATACATATAATTTAGAAGTTAAATATTTGTGTTGTTTAGAAGGTAAGGGTTTTGTTAATATGTCAGCTAATTGTTCAGAAGTATCGCAATGTATTGCTTTAATGAATCCGTCTTGAGACAGTTGTCTCACATGCTTAAACTTTATATCAATATGCCTGGACCTTTGTCCAATTGCATCGGATCTGGATATTTCAATGGCCGCTTTATTGTCTTCATGCATAATAAATGGTAAGGTGGGTTTCTTCCAAACATCAGTGATCAGATCATTGAACCATACAAGGTTGTTTGCAGCTTTGGACAAACAAACATATTCCGCTTCTGTAGTAGAAGTGGCTACTAGTTCTTGTTTACCAGTATACCAGTAAACTGGACAATCATTCAATAGAAAAACATAACCAGAAGTACTCTTTCTGCATGATGTATCACCAGCCCAATCTGCATCAGCATAACAAGTAATTTTTGGTTCTCTGTCATTATTGGGTTCCAACATTAAACAAAAATCTAATGTACCCTTCAGATATCTTAGAATTCTTTTGACAGCTTCCCAATGATACAAGGTTGGTTTACTAACATATCTTGACAATAGATTGAGAGGTAATGCAATATCTGGCCTAGTCCAATTAGATATATAAAGGAGTGAACCTATAACTGATCTGTAAAATGTGTTGTCTTTAAACTCAGGGGAAGATTCATCAGTGTTTCTAAGAAAATCAGTTTGCATAGGGGTGTCACAGGTTTTAGCATTATTTAAGTTACATTTGTTTAGGAGTTCGATGATTTTATCTTTCTGTGTAAGTTTGAATCCCCTTTTAGTTTTGTTAATTTGCACACCAAGGTATTTATTCACTTTACCCAGAGATTTCAGTGAGAAGTGTTCATTTAACTTATTTACAAAGATTTCCCTGCTCTCTTTATGCTTTCCAATGTATAAAATATCGTCCACGTAAATTAATACAAATTCAATATGATCATTACTCTTTTTTACAAAGAAACAGTTATCAGCAGTGGTGGCGTTGAAATCCATGGTCTTAAGTACTTTTACCAAGCAATCGTACCATCTTTTGCCGGATTGCTTTAATCCGTACAGACTCTTATTTAATAACCAAATTTCGTTCTTATTAGTGTATTGACTGTGTGGTGCTCTTACATATATTTCCTTATCTAATTTTGCATGTAAGTATGCGGTCTGTATGTCATATTGGAATACGTCCAGATTGAGTGCAGATGCTACTACAAGGGCTGTTTTGACACTCTCTGTTCTCACTGTGGGTGAATATGTATCAGTATAGTCTTCTGGATATTTTTGTGCATAGCCTTGTGCAACTAGTCTAGCCTTGTATAAGGTATTGCCTCCTTCTAAGTTCTTAATTTTATAAATCCACCTGGTACCTATAATTGTTTTATCCTTAGGTGCGATCGCAGGTGTGAATACATTTAATCCTTGTAAACTTTCCATCTCTTTTTCCATAGCTAGTTCCCATTTTTCTCTTTCTTCATGTGGAAGTTTCAATACTTCTTCATATGTATTAGGTGTTATTTGTTCTCCATTCATATGCATTATGTAATCTTTGTATTTATTTGGTATTTGGTTTCTATTGTTTCTAATAGTTCTTTCAGGCTTGCTATGGTTATCATGCAAATATCTAGCTTCCTTTTTTGTTAATGTGTCTGTCTTTATTTTATGCTGACTATTAGTCCAAGTTTTGGTTTTGTTCTTACTTTTGTTAATATTTTGATTTTCTGTTGTTCCTTCCTCGCAAGATATCGTATCTTTACATTTATTAGGAAATATTTCATTAAGGTGCAATTTTGACCAATTGGCCTGTTCATGGAACACAGCTGTTCTGGATACTATAAATTTGTTATTACTATCAATAAATCTGTACCCTTTGGTTCCAGTTTCGTATCCCATGAATCTTAATCTCCTGGATACGTTTTCTCCCTTTCTCCTCAATTGTTTAGGTATGTGTACGTCTGCAGTGACTCCAAATATGTGCATGTGTGATAATTTGGGTTTTCTATTGTACATCACCTCATATGGTGTCTTATTCACAATACTGGACCAGGTTCTATTTTGAGTGTAATTCGAATAATGTAATGCCTCTGACCAAAATTGTTTGCCTAAACCAGCATCCTCTAATGTGCACCTAATCATGGTTTGTAGTGTGGAATTTTTCCTCTCTGCAACTCCATTTTGAAATGCAGAAAAAGGATTGGACGTGAAATGTAACATTCCTCTATCCTTTAACCATTGGGAGAATTCTTTAGACATGAACTCACATCCCCTATCTGTCATAATTTGCTTTATTCTGATATTATGTTGTGTTTCTATACGTTTGTAGAATTCCTTAAATTTCTGAAATGTTTCATCCTTGTGCTTTAATGTGTAAACAAAACCATATCGGCTGTAGTCATCCACTATTGTTAGGAAGTAACGTTTTCTATAGGTAATTGAGGGACTTAATGGACCAACTAAGTCCATATGTACCAAATCAAAAATATTGTTAGTTGATCTGTTAGATTTTTTTGGTCTGGGACTGGTTTTTAGTTTGGTGGACTTACATACTGAGCATTCCAAATAATTTTCACAATTTTTTATTTTGACACCTTCTGCGTGTTCAGTCATTTTTTGTACTACAGGAAAGCTTGCATGTCCTAACTTCCTGTGTAAGATGTGAGCACACTCATCATGAATTGGTTTACCTATTTTTGGTTTCTTTTCCTTGTATGTGTTTTTGTGATCATGAGTTATTCTACACTCATCATTGTCACTGTTACTGACATTTTCATCATCTGCTTCAATACAATCTTCCATATTTGAATCAATGTTATGTAAACATCTTTCTTTAGTTATCAGATAGGGTAGACCTCCTTTTATCATTACAGTACCTACATTTGTTTTGTTCTTTTCTATAGTTGCTTTCCCCTTTGAGAAAACTATATTGATATCAGATTCTCTGCTTAATTTTATGGCACTTAGTATGTTGTGAGGTATTTCTGGGATTAATAATACCCCCTCTATTTTCCCTAGACCAGGCAAGGTCACATTTCCTTTGCCTAGTACTTGAACCTTTTCTTGATTAGCTACCTTTATCACAAACTTATCTTCTATAAATGAAGATAATATACTTTTGTTGTTGGTGGTGTGATTTGTTGCACCAGAATCAATAAGCCAATTGTTATTCTCATCCTGCTGTGTTCTGGTGCTGTCTTGTTTATTTAGCCCATTCAGTGACCCAGATTTCCTCTCTTTTGAATTTTCTCTACCCCCTCTACCTTCTTTGTAATTTGGTGGGCTTCTATATTTGTGTCTATCTGTGGAAGATTGTCTGTAATTATATTTGCTCCTATATTCTGGTCTATGTCTCTCTCTTGAGACTTTGGGGCAGTTTCTTCTACTATGTTCCCTGGATCCACAATTGTAGCATCTAAAGGCCTCATTATGTTTATCTTGAAAGACTACTTTCCTAAAAGGTTTGTGGTCTGTTTGGTTACTGGATCGATTTTTTCTTGAATTGTCTTCTGCTATCAATTTGTTAGATAGACTTTCTATGGATAAATATCCCAAATTAATGGTATCTAAGTGTGACATAAAGCTATCCCATGATGGATCAAGTGAATTGATAATAACACTTTTCATTGTTTGATCTGAAATCACTTCCCCCCTCAATTGTAGCTCAGCTCTTATTTTGTTTAGATTTATCAAATGCTCACTTATAGAAACCCCTGGTTTTACTCTAGAGGAAAAGAAATCCTTAGACATTCTTGTGGTTGTAGCTACGCTATCGCTGTGAAATAGATTAAACATGCATTGAATTATTTCTGATACAGTTAGGTTTGGTTTGATGCTATGATACATTGCAGGAGACACGCTAGATATTATTATGAAAAATGCTCTATGATGTAAACAATCTATTTTTAAAGTCCAAGGTCTTCTTGGAGGGCTAGTTATAAAGAATAGTAAATTTTCTTTCATGAAAATAACCTGAAGCTGTTGATACCACTCTTGTAAATTAATGCCATCAATTCTAAGTTTTGGGAAGTCACTGGGTAAGTTACCTACATTATTCTGTCCATTACTTACAACCTGGGGCAGTCCGTGATCTCTCAAGTGCAGGAAATTACAGAACGGCATTGGGATGCTTGCAATGAGTCTGCGCGGTTCTCTGGCCAGTTCAAGTCCTTCTGGGTCGTCTACGTAGTTTCGCACATGCGCGTTGTTCATTTCTTCTTTGGTGGCGTCGTGGAAGGTTCTCTCCCTTTCAGCTCTCTCGATCCGCTCCTCCTCAGATGAGTCGGTCTCTGGCTCGGTTTTTGGGGTTCTGGTGGTGGTGACGGTTCTTTTCTTCTTTTTGTGTGCGTTGGTATTCGATTTTGTCTGTGGTGTAGGGCGAAATCGGCATGGCTCTCTGGGCTCGGGCGTCGTCGCTTTCGAAGTCAGGATGGGAGCGTGCAGGTCTTGAGTCGCCGGTTTGATTTCTTGGTTCTTCGTAGATGTCTTGGTAATTTTCAGTCTTGGCCCAAAAGCAGCAAAAAGCGTTTTCATTGCTGATTTTACTTGAGATTTTGTTAAATCGTCTTCACTTTCTGATTTTGGATCATCTGAAGAGTTTGAGACTTCTTTCTCACTTTCTTCGTCTGATAGTGTTTTTCGCGCCAGAAATTTTGAACTGAGCGTTTTGATTGGCTCTGCTCCATTCTCTTTTGAAGTTCGTTGAAACCAAGATGGCTGCCATTCAAAATTTCGCGCGGGATCACATCTTTTCTTTTTAACAACTATTTTCTCAGTAGTCATCTCACTTACGATTTTTTGATCTTTGGGTTTTTCTTTAATGACGTTTTTCTCTCTCGCTGCTCCGCTGTTCTTCAGCATCTCCTGGAGGTCCGCGATGAGACTTTCATCATTCTTTTGGCTTTTTAGTATCTTTAATATCTCTGACCTGAGTTCGTTATTTTCTATTTCGATTTCTTTCTGGTCATTATTTTCACTCATTAGTTCTTCTTCTTCAGTGGTGTATTCTTCGGATTCTCTCGAAATCGCATTGGTGGATTCGTTGATCATCTCTTGATCAGTTTCTATTTCTTTGCTGTAGGCCCTGGTGTTGGGCCTATCTTTCTTGGACATTTTTAATTACTTATTGAGTCAATTAACCATCCTCTGCTACCAGCTTGTTGCAATATTTTCAGGATCAGACTCAATAAAGATAATAGAAGTTAAAGCTTTAAATATATTTCTTTTTAATTATGATAGGCATTCTATATTCACTGAATATTCAAGGTAGAAGCGACGAGAATGGTGAGGGTGGCTCCTTATATATACAAGGGGTGGAGCTAGGAATGGGAGTGGTAAGTTATGAATACATTAAAGTCCAAAGAATAAGTTAACCTCTGATGTTCCATATATACATTATTTACACATTGGAGAATAAGGCATTTACATCTGACAAAGCTATTCTCCAAAGCCCCTGAGGGCAGGACAAGAAGCAGTGGGTGGAAACTAAACAAGGAGAGAAGCAACCTAGAACTGAGGAGAAATTTCCTGACAGGGAGAACAGTTCATCAGTGGAATGACTTTCCTTCAGAAGTTGTGGCTGCTCCATCACCAGAAACGTTTCAGAAGAGACTGGAGAGCCACTTGTCTGGGGCCTCTGGAATGAGCAGGGGGTTGGACTGGAAGACCTCCAAGGTCCCTTCCAACTCTGTGACTCCGTTATTCTATTTCTGCCATTTGTGGGACCATCCAGAACCTGCTTATAACCATATTCCATTTTTCATGCTAAAGTTCTGGAAGCACAAATTATAATTTTTTGTTATTCCTGGACTGGCCAAGGAAAATGAAAGTGTACATTTAAAAAAAAAGTCTAGGAGATATGAACTATTTTACTTTAAATAATAAAATGCAAACACTCAAACTGAAGAAAAAAGCATACAGAGCTGCCCATTTCCACTCAGAATCATGGCTTATTGGAGCAGCCTATAAAAACAACAAAAATGTTTTTGTTTTAACAAATTTTGTTTATATTATTGTGTTGGTGAAGTTTTTGTTTTGTAACCTGCAAAGAGTCACAAGGTGGCAAACGGCTGTTTTTGAGTGGAAAAGCCAAAGATGAATTCAGTTGCCTTCATGCTGGGCTGGGGTGAGAAGGAGGCAGCGTCATGAGGACACGTCCTCTAACAACGGTTAGCAAGGCGCCTTCATCTTACCTTGAGAAGGACAGAAAAATGAGCCCATGGAGTTTTGAATTTGGGGAAATTCCAGCTTTCACTTCTTTAGGTCTCTTCTGTGATTGGGAGGATTGTTTGGGGTTCTCTGTCAACGATCTGCTCTTTCTCCCAATTTAGAACCAACCAATTCAAAATCCAATCTCGGGCTCATCATCGGCTGCGTTGTGGCTGCTCTTGTCCTGGTGGGTGTGATTGCTGGGATCCTCCTGGTATTCTTCAGTAAGTATCTTTTGGGGGGGAGGGGTGATGGAAGGAAGATGGGGAGATTCCCCCCTAAATCTCTCCCTTTGGGGAGCTTCTTCTGGGCTTCCTTCTGTTTTCTCAGCCCTCTTGGGGAGCATCTGAGATCTCAGCCTCTTGCTGGGACTCCAGTCATTTGTATTTTGAAGATCTTTCTCTTTTTATAAATGGGAAAAAGTGTCTGTGAAATATCTCCTGGGGTTCTTCCTCCTACAGAGGGAGAAATTGGGTGATCTCTCGTGGATTCTGTTGAACTTTCACTGATTTTTATCTTTGCAGAAAGACGTCAAGATGACTACAATGCAGCACCAAGTGAGTGAATTGTCCTCTTTCCATGTAATTTCCAACTTAGAACAGGCTTCAGAGGCATCATCACTTGAGGATTGTTTGTTTATGTGTGTGTGTGTGTGTGTGTGTGTGTGTGTGTGTGTGTGTGTGTGTGTGTGTGTGTATTTAAAAACAAAAGAAACTCATGAAGCTGCAGTTGTGCTATTTCCTCCTAAGAACTAAGCTGGGGAAGGAGGCCCCCTTTTCATAACAGCCAGGCTGTTCTTGGGAGTGAAGATCTAGGACAAGAAACCCTCAAGAGGATGAGAAGATCCATGTGGGTGAAATATTTCCTCTGAGTGAGAAGCTGCTGTTTTCCAAGTAGGAGGAACTTACAAAATTCAATTTACTTGCACTGGTTTGTTCCTGCAGAGGAGAAGGGAAACTCTCCCTGTTGGATTTCCAGGCACTTTCATTCAGGCAGGGAAGGCAGCCCACAGTCTGCGTGGTGGAGCCTGGCCCCCTTTGGAGGAAAGAGCCCTTCACTCCTTAGGGAAATAGGAAAACCTCCACAATGCCGTGATCCCCAGTGGTCGGAGACTCTTCTGGTGAGATAGCTGAGACTGGCTGAATCTGGAAAGGAGGATGTTCTCCTCTCAGAGACATGTCCAGCTGGGTTTAGGTTTGGCACCAGCTGATACCCCAGGACGCAGCCCAGGTGGGATAGCAAGTGGTCCTCTGAGAATCTTCTTTGGCTTTCAAGGGGCCTTGTGCCCCAAATTTTTGGTTGTTACTCCCTGTTTTGGAGCTAAGTTCATGAAATCAGTTGGGCTTGTTCCTACTGTACCAGCCTCCCTACCTGAGTGCTGTAGATTATTTGGGGTTGGCAGTGGAGTTCCCCAGGATTATGGTCTTGCGAGAGGGGTCCTTGGTGCTCTCTGAGCTTGCTTGACTAGCACTGAGGATGTTACCTAGTTATGGTAATGAAACATCTGCAAGAAAACAAACAAGCTCACAGAACGGCTTGGCGGCTTTGCTCCCTGTTTTTTAAAGGGGAGACTAGGAACAACCCAAGATGACCTTCGGACAATCATGCACAGACAGAGAAGAGAGGGGGCTGGATCTCTTGCCATCCTTTCCCTTCAGCTGCTCAGCTTTCTTAAGCACACCTGGGTTTTAATTGCACTCCTGAAGCTTTACAATCTCTTGATTTATGACTAGTTCACTTCTGACCTATTTTATAACCTGGACTTTTACAACTTTTTTTCCCTCCTCTTTCATTGTTTACCATTAAGTTTAAATTATTATTTGTTTATTCGTAAGAAAGTTGCAATGGATTTTATGTTTATATGTACACAGGATTATACTATAAATCTTGCTCTTTCTATCTTTTTTCTTTCTTTTTTTAAGTGTCTCAATATTTAACTCTGAATTTTTATGGAAAAATTTCCCCTTTTTTAACTCTGGAGGAAAAAATCCTTTCCCTCTGCTTATCTGCTTCTCTTGTCTTTGAGTAGAAAACCAAAAGTGTTTTTCATGTCTTCGAAAGGCGATAAATTATTTTGGGAGATAACTGAAAAAAGAATGCTCTCCAATTTACAGGATCTACGACAGGTCAGTTAGGCTGCAAATAGATCTACAAGATTATAAATTTTGGACCTCTTTTGCAAGGGGGAAATTGATTTCTCAGCGTTCAACTGGGGAGGGCATAATATGACTTTTCCTGTTTTTTCATTAATTTTTTTCAATGTTTTTGTTTAGTTTTGTTCTGTCTCTGTTCAATCCTTTTCTTTTGGATTTTAATCTTTTGCATAAAATACAATAAAATGGTCAATTCTAAGAAAAGTGGAACAGGAGATCCACAGTTTGGCCAGGCTCCTTTCCCCCTAACTGTTGCACACATATCATAAGAATACGAAAATAGTTTGCTGAAAATAAATGGTTTTGCCTTCTTCTTACCTGAGTTGCTTCCTATTATTGGAAGTTGGGAATAACAAGGATTTTCCCCTCCTGGCTGTTCGGAGACCCTGAGTTCCCTTTGAGTGGCAGGAAGGGGAGGAACCAAGGCAAAAACTGGGGGGGCTCCTTGGGGAGGAGGCAGCCATTTTGCTCCTGTGTCCAGATGTTTCTCTTGCCTCAGGCTGTTGGCCAAGTGGCTGGTCTCTGAGCCTCACCCAGTGGCCCTTCGGGAGACAGGAGTTCAATGCCCAGCCAGAGCCGTCCTGATTCCCTGGCAGAAGGGCAGCTTCTCCTGCTTCTGGGAGATCCTCTCTGGACTCCTCAGCTGCCCAATAGGATGCAGTGGCCCAAGAGTGGGGAGACCCCTGATGGATGGGAAAGATGTCCCCCATATTACAGAAAGTCTTCAACTTACGACCACAATTGACCCTAAAATTTATTGAGTTTTACCCCGTTTTACGACCATTTTTACGACCAGACAGTTATCGAGTCTGGCTTCCCCATTGACTTTGTTTGTCAAAAGGGGACCACATGATCCTGGGACTCTGCAACCGTCATAAGTATGAGGCAGTTGCCAAGCGTCCGAATGTAAATCATATGAGCCACGAAGATGCAGAAACGGTCATAAGTGTGAACCATGGTCATATCTCCTTTTTTCAGTACTATAACTTTGAAAGGTCAATAAATGAACTGTTGCAAGTCGAGGACTACCTGTATAGCGGATGCTTTCTGGGAGAGGAGTGAAAAGGGGGGGTCTTTCACTCCAATTCCTTTTGGGCTCCCCAGATGCCCTCAAGAGCTCCCATCTTTGACAGCCTAAAAAGGGGACAGTTTCCACCTGCAACACAAGAGTCACATTCAGCCTTGGGCAGCTAATCATGTAACCCACAAAACTTTTAATGTTATAATAAACAATGTAAAAAAACAATAGAAGGGTTTACGGACGATATTATCTAATTTATCAATCCCTTTTCACTCAGTGCTGCCCAGGGAAGCCAGAAGGTTGGAGACGGCTGCTTTAAAGCATTTGGTGAGAATTCAATCCCTATTTGAGCATATCAATTCAAAGGTTTTAGAAAGTTTCTCCTTACTTCTAGGTTGGATCTCTCTTTAAGAAGCTTCCACCCCTTTTTCTTTTCTCCTGCCCTCTGGAGCTTTGGAGAAGAAGCCGATCCTTTGTGGCAGCCCCCCCTAAGTACTGGAAGGCAGGTATCATGGGTCCCCCCTCCCCGATTCTTCTCTGCCAGAGGCTAGAGACCCATCCCTCCTTCAGTCTCTTCCCCATATAAGATTTGGCCTCAGGATCCTTTATGATCTTTTGTTGCTCTTCTCTGCACACTTTCTAGGGTCTCGGCGTCTTTTTTTCTATCGTGGTCCCCAGAGTTGTACCCAGAATTCCAAGGGTGGCTTCACTTGTGCAATATAAACCGACATTATGGCTTCTCCTGATCTTGATCTTCTCCCTCTGTTGATGCAGCCCAAGACGGCCTTGGCTTTTTTGGCAGCTCCCCCTGATCCCCGGCTGGGAGGGGCTGTGCGGGGTCTCCCCTCCCCTTTGCCTGCGCCCCTCCCCCCAGGCCCTGAAACACCTCCCACTTTTCCCAGTCCCGCAGTTCCGCCCCTCCCCCAAGAGGCGGAATCCCTGGAAGGGGATTTCCTGATGGAACTTTCGCTTTCCTCTCCACGTCTCTCTCGCCGGTTGCGCCTGGACCTCTGCCTAGCAACAGTGACGAACATGGGGTTATTTTTTTTCTACTGGTTGAGTTCGCCCAATCGCCAGCGGGCTCTGGATTGTTGCACTGTTGACCACCCGGAGCCCCTCTCGGTTTGCTTGCGACTTCAGGAGAGCGGAGCGGAGGTTGAGGATCGCGGCCAGGATGGCTCTGCGCTCTGCGCCCTTCCTGCTCCTGGTGTTGGTGGCGGTCGCCCTACGAGAGAGCTGCTTCGGTGAGTCCCTTTGGGGGCCTTGGGGGGGTTTCTCCCTTTTTATCTGCCAGGGAATTTCTCTCTCTCCTCCCCCCCAAAATATTTATTCCCAAAAGGAGAATCCTCTGGGATTAGGCTCCGACGTTGCCCCCCTCCAGGAGAGCCCCTTTGGGAACAAGACAAGGGTGGACCCTCCAGATGTCAGTCAAGTCTACCTGGGCACCCCGAAGCTCAATTCTTTCTCTCCCTTCCAAAATGAAGATTGTTGGAAAGCGGCGTTTGCACGTGATCAGGTCAGTTCACAAACTTCCTGGCTGCCTCCGCCCAACTCCCTCCGCCTGGATCCTCTTTCCTGCCTTTGGCGGTGATCTGTGGCTCTTTGTGGCTTCTGGTGCTGGGAGGACCCGGCTTGATTCTCGGTTCCCTGCATTGGCAGAGGCGGAGACTGGTGCAAAGGAGCGACCGGGATAAGGCTGCCGTGTGAATGCAGCAGGATGAGAGTCTGGAGAGAGAAAGGCTCCTTCAATAACCTTCCTCAAGATTCGCCTTTCTTCCTTTTCACTTTCTCCTGGCTCCCCCTCCCCCTCCCACCGCATCCTAAACCCCAAGATCCCCCAAATTTTCCTTTCTGGGACAGGCAGGGATTTGCCTCCTCAGGTGATCCTTCTTCCATTCCAGAAGCCACCAAAGTGGGAAAATTTGCAAAATTAAGAATATTTAAAATGTAATATTATGATGTTATTATTCCTTAGTAGTCAGGAAGGGGCCTTCGGAAGTTCCTAGCTGATCGCTGAGAGAAACTATCACTGAAGCAGCTTTTCCAAAGGCAGAAAGAAAAACCGTCAGGATCTTAACCATTAAATAGGCTGGGTTGGAGGCAGAAGAAGAGAAGCAACTCTGGATGCTGACCATGAAATAATGAACGGCTTGCTTGGACACAGACAGTCCTGACTTGAGGAGGATTCATGACTGTGAGGATGTCCCACCTGCGTTAGATTCACACATTTCTCCTCAGCCCCACAAGGGAAAGAAGCAGGTTCTGGATCATGGAGAGTCCGATCCCCCCCTCCTTCTGTTGGAGAAAAGCTTTGATCCCTTTGGAATCTGAAATCTCCCAAGAGCTAGAATTGGATCTGGGGCTCCCTCTCCCCAAAAGCTCTTGAGAAGCCACTGGGATTGTGGGGAGGAGCAGGAAGAAGGAGGCCCAGGCCTTTGCCTTGGACTGGGAAGGCCTGGGAGACCATACTGGAGGGAATGGGCAGTAGGAGCACAGGTAGTCCTCAACTTACAACAGTTTATTTAGTGACCATTCAAAGTTGCAATGTCATTGAAAAAAGTGACAGCATGACCATTTTTCACACTTATGACCATTTTACTGTCCTCATGGTTACGTGACCGAGATTTTGATGCTTTTGGCAACTGATTCATATTTATTTATTATTTTTTAAACAAGTTATATTGGTTTTTTCTCCTCTCCCACATTCACCCCAATTTTTTTTTTGAACAGAGTGTTGACCGTTTCTTATCTTATACAATTAATCTAATTCAAATACATTTTACTCAATTACAATTTTTGCCAAAATCGTTTTTCCCTTTTCTTTTTTTTTAAACATATCCCAATATTTCTATATTTGCGTACATAAACACCATCTTCATTTGTCCCTAGATTCTAACTTTACTATTTATTCATATTTATTCTCTTTTATTCTTAAACAGTTCATTCTTTATCTTAATATATTTATATTTGTTTGTCGGAGTTGCCTTTCTTCCACTTCATCTTTTTTATTGCACAGCAATCTTTCTCCTCAAACCTACCCTCTCCCTCTTCCCTATCTCTTCCTACTTTCTTTCCCCACCTCCTTCTTCTCTTCTCTACTTCCCCTTCCCTTCTCCTTCTCTCTTCCCCCGTCTTACCTTTTCTCCTACTCTAATTTCCCTTCCCTTCCTTCCTCCCTACTCTTCCATCCCTCTCTCTCCTTCCTCCTCCCTTCCAACTCTCTTCCCCTCCTTCATCTCTCTCTATTGCTGTATTCATTTTCAATTTAATATTTTCCACCGTGGAGGCCAGGCAGCCCCGATCCCTTGTCCTTTTAATTATTAACAGTATATTTCATCTTATTCCTTTTTTTTTTCAAATCTTTACTCAATCTTCTAATCCTTTATCTTTTTTACTTTTACCAATGTATTTTTTCTGCTTTACTTCTTGCAAGTATAACATTTAAATCATTTTTATAATTTCAATTTCATTCAATTTTACATTCAATCTTCCTATCTTAACAATATATTTCCACTTATTCAAATATATATTTATAAAGCGCATCTTAATAATTTATCATTTTACCCAATCCAATTAGTTCTTAAAATATTCTTAATTTGCCTTCTTTTCTCTTTTTGATTGTTTCAGATATATAGTTTGAAATATTCCAATTATTACATTTCCCCCAGCAAGTTTAGTCATATTATTAGAACCTATCATTCTATAGACCTCCAATATTATTAAGCATATGATATTTATTACAGTTTCTCCAGTTTTCAGTAGAGCATATTTAAAACTTAAAATATAGAGTATAAGTCCCATTCCCTTTATTTCAAACCGCTCTATATTCCCCTTATTTTAAAATCACTTAATTAATATCACTGTTTTATCTTTTTTTCTGACATTAAACTCATCTATTAAATTTTACAGTTCTGAATATATTTTCATTTCTTTCTGTCTTTCTGTCTTTTTCCTTTTCTGCCTGCCAGGGTAATTTTAGTAGTTTAAAATATTTATAATTTTCTTTTTATTGTCTATGGGTTGGCCAATCACTCACCCAACACCAACACTCTGTCCAAATCTTCCTTCCTGCACATCGCTTGCTCCAGAGGCTCCAGCTTCATGGAGATTCACCCTGATCACCGCCTCCCATCACTGACTCAGAGAGTTTCTCGGGCTATCCAAGGGACTTGCTTGTCTCTCTTTAGACACCGAGCTGCCTCTCCTTCTTCACTGTCTCTACAGGACAGTTTCGGTCCGAAGACCCCCCAGGTGTCAGTTCGTCTAGCTGGTTTTTGCCAGGCTCGTCGGAGCCCTGCATATTCCTAGCCAGTCACGCCGCACTGCTTCTGGATTTTCAACTGATTCCTATTTATGACAGTTGCAGTGTCCCCTTATCACCTGATCCCCTTTTGCAACTTTCTGACAAGCAAAGTCAATGGAGAAGCCAGGTTCACTTAACAATCCAGTTATTAATTTAACAACTGCAACGATTCATTTAACAACTGTGGCAAGAAAAGTTGTAAAATGGAACAAAACTCACTTCACGAATGTCTCACTTAGCAACAAAAAATGTGGGCTCAATTATGGTCATAAGTCGAGGACTACCTGTATTTATTTCTCTGGGCTTTGGAGGTTCTGCCCTTTTGTATGCGGACCCAGGTTCTGCCCAAATAAGTCCCATGAACGATCCTGAAAATGATCTTCAAAATCTTTGGCGCCCTGAAATAATTTCTGATCTGAAGAGCTTTCAGAATGGACACCAAAAATGGGCCTTGGGGATTTTCCAGTTTAATCTTACTTTCTTTTAATTCTTTTAATCCATTTACAAGCTGTTGTTTTTCTGTTCATTGGGCAGCCTTAGAGTCTCTTCTGTGTTTCTTTTTTTTTTTTTTTAAATATACTTTATTGGTTTTTTAAAAAAGGTTTTTTTTTAAAAAAGAAAATATCAAATCTCAGGTAACATCTGAGGTATCGTGCGATTACATATATACAGTATATACACAACAAGTATCTTCAAATCTATCATTATTAGAAATAAGCATATCCTTATAGTCTTGTTCTATTATTCCACCATTTATACCACCTTTCCCATACTGCCTTAAATTTTGAATTCTCATCATCTTTAAGCATTTTGCCATTTCTGCACATTCCAATATTTTATTTATTATTGTCATCTCTGGAGGGATTTGTTTATCTTTCCAGTATTTTGCGAAAGTTAATCTGGCCGCTGTTATAATATGTATAATTAATTGTGTCTTGTCCTTCGAGAGTCCATCTCCCATCATTCCTAGTAAGAAAATTTCTGGAGATAATTTTATATCTTCTTCCACTATTTCCCGCAGCCAAGTTCGTATTTTTGTCCAGAACTTTTTTGTCTCTGAGCAGGACCACCACATATGAAAGAAGGTGCCAACCTCCTTTCCACACTTCCAACAAATTCCTGAGGCGTTGGGAAATATTTTTGCTAATCTAGCTGGGGCTAGATACCATCTGTGAAATATTTTGTAGTGGTTCTCCCTATAATTTGCTGATTTAGTAAGGTTATAATTTCTATTCCAAGCCTCCTCCCAGTCATTGAAATTTAGTCTGTGGCCAATATTTTTTTCCCAAATGCTTAGTTGGTTCCTAGCTATCCCTTCTGCTCTGTCTTCGCCTAATAAAAGGTTATAGAATCTGGCTAGCATTTTCTTTTCAATCCCCAACATAATTTTATCTAGATTGTTGTACTTCGTCTCTATACCAAATTGATCCCTATCTTTTTGATATCTAGAACTTATCTGCGTGTAACTCCACCAGTCCAAATTAAAACCTTGATTATTTAGTGTTTCTCGAGATCTAAGAATACCATTTCCATCTAATATGTCTTTATACGTGCCAAATTTCCCACTATCTCTTTTATTAGTAGCAATCAGCTGAGCCCCCTCCCCGAAATATGGGCGATGGCAGCAGAAGCTCCCACCATCCTCCTTGGGGGCAGGGGGTGGGGCCAGGGTGGAGGGGCCAATGGTTTTCTGGGGGTGAGGAGAATTCTGGGAGTTGAAGTCCAAGTGTCGGAGTCTGAGAAACTCTTAATTTAGGCCTTTACATTGAGAGCCACTGATCATGAGAAGAGTTGGGTAGCCAGGATCTCAATCCCCTCCAAGGTGGCTGAGGGGCATTTCTGCCTTTCTTTGTGCTGACCAAGTGCAGGATCAGCCCCAGAGGAGGAGAAGGGTCAGAGCAGCTTCTGGGGAAAGTGAAGGGGGAGATTCAGAGGAAATCTGGGGCATTGCAAAGGTCTTTGAAGGAGAGTTTGAGAGCCGTAATTGGGTTGCTGAAAGGAAGAAATCTTGGGATAATCAGACTGAGATTTTCTGTGGAAGGAGGAGGAGCCCCACTGAGTCCTGGGTTCAAAATCCGATTCTTGCTCAGATGGCTGAACTCTGGGAGGGGAGGGGGGATTTTCCAGCTGGGGGGGGGAACAGGGATGAGGAGGAATATCTGGGGGGCTAAGTCACTCCATTGCTCCTTCCTTCCCTCCCCCCTTTGCATTTCCCCATTTGGGTTTCCCCCAAAGGATCCCATGGCCTCTGGTCTCACCCGGATTCCCCCTCCCCCATTTCATAAAATCTGCACCTATTAACAGTCCAGGTTGGCCTTCAGTGAAGTCAGAATGGGGTTTTTTTTTGTTCTGTGAATGGAAAGGAGGGGGGACCAGGGGGGGTTTCCTGCTGCTTTTGAGCTTCTGGGAGGGTGGAATCCCCCCTTTTACCTGTGCAGCCATTGCAGCTTCCTTGGGGCAGAGGCTGAGCAACCCAGAAGGGGGTTTGAGGGAGGCCTTGCTGGAAGGGGGGAGGGCACAATTGGGGCAGGTAAAGTTTGGGGGACCCTCCCCTCCCCTCCTCTCACCCCCCCACCTTCCCTTCCTCCAACTCTTCAGGCCCTCCAGAAAATGCTTCTTTTCCCTCTCAGTTGCTCCCTCATTTCCATCTCCTGCCTCTTCTTCCACCATCTCCCCCTTCCTTCCTTCCCCCCTTCCTCCTCTGCCCCCCAACTCTCCTCCTCCTCTTCCTCTTCTTCCTTCTTCCTCCCCAGAGCCTCAGATGGGAGCCTCCATGGGATCAGGGTCCTTGGCTGAAGCCCCCTAACTTTTCCCCTCTGGCTCCCTTCCAGGCGCCTCCTCCCACTCCATGAAGTTTTTCTCCACCGGCATCTCGGAGCCCAGTCAGGGGCAGCCCCACTTTGTCATTGTGGGGTACGTGGACGGTCAGGTCTTTGTTCACTACGACAGCCACACCCGGAAAGTGCAGCCTCGAGTCTCCTGGATGGAGAAGGTGGGGAAGGAGGATCCCCAGTATTGGGACAGAGAGAGTCGGAAACAATGGAATGTTGAGGAGACGTTAAGAGAAAACCTGGAGAACCTGAGGAGTCGCTACAATCAGAGCGAAGGTGAGTGATGGGTCTGGTGGCTCCTCCGGCCCCATAATCCCCTCCCCAGGAACCAGAGGGGGGGAGAAATGGGTCCCTTCAAAGGGAAAGGCTGCCTCCAAACCTTTTAAAAAGTCTTTTTTTATATGTTTATTCTTATTTAAAAAAATCAATGAAAGATTCTCCTTCCCTCCATAGCTGACATTTTCTGCCAAGTGCAGTTAATAAAAAGATGTTTAAATTTATCCATCTGTCTTTCTGAATGTTGATATGGATATTGATATAAACTGAGGTAAAAAGAGACCGAAATCTCCCCTCCCCCCATGAAAGATGGAGGATCTGGCCTTGGGGGATCTCCTGCTGTGGGGGAGGAAGGGAATCACAGATCCCCCCCACAAAAAAAACCAGGCAGGTGGATCCTAATTAGATCCTGGGAGAAGCAGGTCCTCGTCCTTCTGTCTGTTTCCACCCCAGAGAAATGAGGGATCGAGTGCAGATCCACCTGGGGAGACTAGATCCCTTTCCTTCTCCCCCTTTTTGGAGGGCCGAGAGGGGCCCAAATGCCAGGAGCTTCTTCTCACCCTCCAGTTGGAAGGAGAGGCCGGGAGGACCAAATGGGGGGCTGGGGGGCTTTTGTGGGGGGGGGGATCTCAGGGCCAGGATCCTCCCAATCTTCATGGGGAAGAGACGGAAAAGAAAGAAACCTCCATTTGGGGCCCTTCCAGAGTCTCTCAGAGCCTTCATGGCTTCCCATCCTTGGTCCCTCAGGCTGAACTCCTGCATGGTCCTCTTGGTGGGGCTGCCCTGGAGGGAGGGAGACTCTTTCTTCTGCAGCCCCCCCTTCTGCCATCTTTGGGGGACAAGATTCACCTTCAAGGAACCTTATTTGGGGAGGGTCTGCAAGGAAATGTGTGTGTAAAGAGAGGCTCCTTTTGGCTGAAGAAAAGCTTCTCCACAAACAGGAGCCATTTTCCCTCCTTTCATCCCAAGGAACATTCAGCCCCCCCCAATTCTTCCACCCTTTCCTTGCCCCTCCCCCTCTACAGGTGACCCCCAGAGCTCTGCCAGTTCTGCCCCTGATCCCTGAGGGTCTCCCCAGATCCCTCCAGGCCCCCTGCTGGCCTCTCAGGGGAGCAGAGCTGGACCCAGAGGGCTCCCCCTGGTGGAGGAAGGAGGAAGGAGACCGGCCAGAGTGGAGGGGAGCCTCCTTTCCAGGCTCAACAGCCCCAAATGTCCCAACCTTTCCTCAAAGGGAGGCTGCTTCCTCCCTCCCATCACCTCAGTCGCCTCCTCTGGACCTTCTCGGGCTCCCTCCTCTCCTTTCGGAGGTCTGGTGACCAGAAACTGCACACAATATTCCTGATGTGGCTGCACCCTTGATTTTTATTTTTATTTTTATTGGATTTATATGCCGCCCTTCTCCGGAGACTCAGGGCGGCTTACAATGCGTTAAGCAATAGCCTTCATACTTTTGTATATTCATACAAAGTCAGCTTATTGCCCCCACAAACTGGGTCCTCAGTTTACCTACCTTAGATAGGATGGAAGGCTGAGTCAACCTTGAGCCTGGTGAGATTCGAACTTACAGTAATTGCAGACAGCTGGTGTTAATCACAATGCTATCAGTCTGCTGAGCCACCAGGCCCGTTTGCTCTAAGGCTTTGTGATATTAGCCTGTGTTTTCAATACCATTTTAATGATCGCTGACATCCTGTTGGTCTTTTTAATTTTTTAATATAATTTGTATTAAACCTTTTAAACAAAAGATAAAAACTAATAGAAGGTAACATAAAGAAAAGGTGATAAAGAAATGAAAGAAAAATAAAAAAAAGTACAAGAAAAGAAAACAATTGAAGAAAATAAAGAAAAAAGACATAAAGAAGTGGCTTCTGATATTCTTCACAGCGGTTCTAAATATTACTACATTTTAGCCCCTCTAAAGCAGCTTTTCTTAATCTTTTGGCCCTGAAGGAACCCTTGAACTATTTTTCAGACCTCAGGAAACCCCTGAAGATCCAGGCTCAGAGAAAGGCCGAAATTGTTTCATGCATAGACCTGTAGAGATGCATTAATAGTGTTCTTACACTAACAATAAAAAAAATGAAACTTGCCTTTTCAACGTGATCCCTGTGCTTTCTTTTTACTGCACAAATATTCAGTTCTATGCCCAACTTGAAATAAGAACACATTTCATCTTCAAGTGAAATAAGACAATTTCTGTCTTAGCTTTTGATGCTTCTGAAGTACGACAGAGCTTGTTCTCAGAAGTTGAAAACTGCTGCCACATGTTCAGGGCCTTCCTGTGAATGGCAGGAGGTTTTCCATTAGATTTGAGAATTCCTGGCATCCTTCCTCCCTCTCAAGCCCAGACAGGAGTAGAAACATTTCAAGATTTCCTTTTGGTTTTTTCAAACATTCAGTTTTCGTTTAAATCCAAGAATCTGTTCACTTGAAGTTGAAATACCTTCTCCAGGGCCTTGTAGAGTCTGTGAACTTCAAGCTCATTTCAAAGGTCAATAACCCTTTGGGTCTCCAGATGAGACTGGGCCACTTGCTGCTGTTGCTAAGGAAAATATTTCTTTGTGGCCCTTCGAGGCTTCATTCCCACATTGCACTAAACCATGGTTTGTTTCTGGTTAGCCCAAAGTGGGAACCAGCCTTTGTGACTTGGTGCTATTTGTGAACGTACACCAAGATTTATGGTCACAGGGATCCCTGCAAGCGTTTATTTAGATCAATCAGATTCTCTTTGAGGCCATGGGATTCTCAGTCCCTCTTTGCAGCCGCAGATTCAGGCAACTGTTCCCTCTCTGGGATCCCTTCCTTTCCGCCCCCCCCCCCCCCCCGAGAAATGGTAGAAGGAAAGATGGAAGGGATTTCTGTCCCTCCGTTTCTTCTGTGACTCCTTCTTTTCTCGGTCTCCCTTGGGATCCTCTGCTGGCTTCTCCAGCTTTGCTTTTTCCTGGGGAGGTTCAGGGGCTCCATCCTGGGAGGGAAAATGTAGGGAGGCGGGTTGAGGGAGGGGAGAAGGGTGGGTAGTGATGGGGGCTTTCTTTCCCTTGATTGTTAGGGAGGAAATGGGGGAATCAGTGCCTCCCTCCAGTGTCAAAGTCCCTGCAGGGAGGGAGATCTCTGTTTATCTTGAGGACTCCCCAAACCATCATCTTGTCTTTTATTTCAGGCTTTCACACATGGCAGTGGATGTATGGCTGTGAGTTCCAGCGAGAGGGAAGCAAAAGAGGGTTTGCGCAGTATGGATATGATGGGAGGACCTTCATCACCTTCGACAAGGAGACCCCCACCTGGGTAGCTCCCGATCCCCTGGCCCAAATCACCCAGAGGAAATGGAATGATATTCCAGGAGAGAATGAGAGGTTTAAGTCCTACCTCGAGAATATCTGCATTGAGTGGCTGGAGAAGTACCTGTCCTATGGGAATGAGACACTGCTCAGGAGAGGTGAGTATCTCAATCCAGACTGGACTTTCCACCTTTACGGTTGGATTTCTTGTGCACATTCAGCCCTTTTGGGTCCCTTGTGCGGAGCCTGTTTGCCCTGGTGGGAATCCTCCTCCTCCCCCCCAGCACCTCTCCAGGACATGGGAAGAACTGATTGGTTCCTATTGCCAGGCAGCCGTTCAATGCACCAGGAAATGCAGCCTCTGCCTTGCAGGCATCTATATGGATCAGGCAGAAAAGGATTTAAGGGTATCCTGTTCACTGCCCACAGTGAGGCCACCATTTGGGGTTCTTCAATGAAATAACCCAAACTGTAGCCAAGAGTGGTGGGCAACCTTAATTTCCTCCCACTAACTCTCCTTCCCCCCACATCTCACAGAAGGCTCCCTCCCAGTCTCGTCCCTGATGGTGCACCTCCCACGCCCATCACTGGGGGGCTCCACTTCTACCATTAATAAGACACTAGCAGTGCCCCCACTTGGGCAAAAAGGCCCATGAATGAGGGGTTCTTTTCTTTCTGAGGGAGGAGCAAAGTTTCTGTCAATCTTTCTCTTAAACCTCAAACAGGTTCCCAGAATTCTTAGTCCGCCTTTCCTAAAAACAACCCCCTCCCCACCTTCAGGAGCACTGCCTCACCCCACAGGGGGGCTCACATTATAATCTTTTCCTAGAAATTTTTATTAATGTACCATCTAGAACACCCCTCTCACCTAGATCTACCCCTTCCCCTCTGGGACCCTTGATCCCTCCAGGATCAGCTGGATGACATTAGGATCAGTGGGGAACTCCACACACACCCCACTGATGATTGCCAACAGGCAGCTCCTCCCTTCCCAGGGAGGACCTTCTCTCTCTTCCATTGGCATCACCTCTCTCTGCCCCCCCCCTTTCAGAGATCAAATCTCTTTTCCAAATTGATCAGTGTGAGATTCCCTTTGAGCTCTCTTCCTCTTAAAATTGTGGTTGTGTTGCTTGGAAAGAGGCCTGGAGCAGCCTCAGATTCAGGGGAGCAGAAGAGGATGCAAAAAGTAGGGTGAAACTTCTGTGTTGTTGTTGTTTTGAAAGGGAACTTAAAAGAGCATCTCCACTATCCCACCCCTGAAGGGAGCAGCCCAAGATCAGTCAGAGTTCAAAACAATCAGAGTGAAATTTTCTTGGACCTTCAATTTGCTGCTGGAGGTTTTTCAGGCTGAGTCTCTGGGAAGGACTCAAAATCAGGAGTTCTTGTGGTTGAGGATTTTTGAGATTGAGAGCATTTCCCAAAACTCTTGGAGATGCAGCATGTGTGGAGTGGGAAGTAGTGGGAGATTTTCCTGCCCCTCCAGGTTTCCCATCCACCTTCCAGGCTCTGGAGGGGCTCAGAGTTAATTCCTGTGTTTCTGCAGAGCCTCCGATGGTGACGATGAGCAGCAGATCAGAGACTGAGGATGGGATGGAGACGCATGTCTGCCGTGTGGATGGCTTCTACCCAAGGGAGATCGATGCTTCCTGGAAGAGGGACGGGGAGGAATGGCTGGTTGACACCCACCATGGGTTTCTGGCCCCCAACGCGGATGGGACCTACCACTACTGGCTCAGCATCCAGATCGATCCCAAAGAGAGGGACCGCTATCGGTGCCACGTGGAGCACGACAGCCTGCAGGAACCTCTGGACTTGGAACTGAAGGGTGAGAGGCTGCAGGGAGGGAAAGGCTGGGCTCTTTGGCAGCCTGGAGGGTTGTGGGAGAGAAATCTGGCCCCAGCTGTATCCGGATATGAACAAACCTGAATTTTAAGCCATTGGTTTTTCCAGTGTTTGAGGTTGGTGAAGCTACAGAGACCCAATCATAGAACTGACTTCAGGTGATGGAAACTACAGAATCCCATCACAATACTTGGCCGATCCTGATGAAATGTCCTTAGATCCTCTCTGAGGCCTTCCCTGTTTCTTGCCCACAGCAGAAAAGCAGCAGTTATGCCGAGCACCAGAAAGAGATTTGGTTTTCAAAGTAAAAGAATCAGGAGGAGTCTGGTAGCCCCTTTTCTGAAGGCAAATTCTGATTAAACCGGATGAACTGCAGCTGAGTTCAGGAAATGCAGAGAGTAGCTGGACTGATGCTTCAGGAGTCAGAAAAGAAAGTACCAAAGTCTGAGTTTTTTTTCCCATTAGAGAGTAACAGGATTTCTTGCTTTAAAGGTCAAAAGGTCACCCTGTGTTGTTGCTCTAAGAAAGAAGTTGTACATTATTTTATGACATGATATGTGAATTCCCGAGGCTCAGCATAAAACCCAAGGAAAAAAATCCCGCTCTCAAAGAGTTCTGCATATGCTCATAAGTGTCCCTAATGTTTTTTACATGGACATCCAAATTTGCAAAATTAAAATTCTAATTTTTTTTTTATTGATGATTGTCAGTATGATACAAGAAATATTCAAATGTAATTGTTATGCTGATATCCCAGGGAAAATAAAATATTTGTTTTATTTTTCTGGTTGTTTATAGCAAACATCAATTCACAAGTGGCATGATTGCTATTCAATGGGAATCCTGAATTTTGTGCAAGAGAAATTTAAATTTGAAGTTCCCTCCTCAAACCTGCCCCCCCCTCCCCCTCCAAGCAATACCAATTTATGATGCTTTGCTAAGACCATACTTGGAATTCTTCATCCAGTTTTCGTCGCCACAGTATAGAAAAGATTTTGAGACTCTGGAAAGAGTGCAGAGAAGAGCAAGAAAGAGGATTAGGAGCCTGGAGGCTAAAATATATGAAGAGCAGTTGCAGGAATTGGGCATTTCTATGAAAATTCATGAAAAGAAGGACTAGGGGAGACATGATACGTTCCAATATCTCAGGGGCTGCCCCAAAGAAGAGGGAGTCAAGCTATTCTCCAAAGCACCTGAGGGCAGGACAAGAAGCAGTGGGTGGAAACTAAACAAGGAGAGAAGCAACCTAGAACTGAGGAGAAATTTCCTGACAGGGAGAACAATTCATCGGTGGAATGGCTTCCCTTCAGAAGTTGTGGCTGCTCCATCACCAGAAACGTTTCAGAAGAGACTGGAGAGCCACTTGTCTGGGGCCTCTGGAATGAGCAGGGGGTTGGACTGGAAGACCTCCAAGGTCCCTTCCAACTCTGTGACTCCGTTGTTCTATTTCTGCCATTTGTGGGACCATCCAGAAGTCGGATATCACCATATTCCATTTTTCATGCTAAAGTTCTGGAAGCACAAATTATAATTTTTTGTTATTCCTGGACTGGCCAAGGAAAATGAAAGTATATATTTTTTAAAAAAAGTCTAGGAGATATGAACTATTTTACTTTAAATAATAAAATGCAAACACTCAAACTGAAGAAAAAAGCATACAGAGCTGCCCATTTCCACTCAGAATCATGGCTTATTGGAGCAGCCTATAAAAACAACAAAAATGTTTTTGTTTTAACAAATTTTGTTTATATTATTGTGTTGGTGACGTTTTTGTTTTGTAACCTGCAAAGAGTCACAAGGTGGCAAACGGCTGTTTTTGAGTGGAAAAACCAAAGATGAATTCAGTTGCCTTCATGCTGGGCTGGGGTGAGAAGGAGGCAGCGTCATGAGGACACGTCCTCTAACAACGGTTAGCAAGGCGCCTTCGTGTTACCTTGAGAAGGACAGAAAAATGAGCCCATGGAGTTTTGAATTTGGGGAAATTCCAGCTTTCACTTCTTTAGGTCTCTTCTGTGATTGGGAGGATTGTTTGGGGTTCTCCGTCAATGATCTGCTCTTTCTCCCAATTTAGAACCAACCAATTCAAAATCCAATCTCGGGCTCATCATCGGCTGCGTTGTGGCTGCTCTTGTCCTGGTGGGTGTGATTGCTGGGATCCTGGTATTCTTCAGTAAGTATCATTTTGGGGGAGGAGGGGTGATGGAAGGAAGATGGGGAGATTCCCCCCTAAGTCTCTCCCTTTGGGGAGCTTCTTCTGGGCTTCCTTCTGTTTTCTCAGCCCTCTTGGGGAGCATCTGAGATCTCAGCCTCTTGCTGGGACTCCAGTCATTTGTATTTTGAAGATCATTCTCTTTTTATAAATGGGAAAAAAGTGTCTGTGAAATATCTCCTGGGGTTCTTCCTCCTACAGAGGGAGAAATTGGGTGATCTCTCGTGGATTCTGTTGAACTTTCACTGATTTTTATCTTTGCAGGAAGACGTCAAGATGACTACAATGCAGCACCAAGTGAGTGAATTGTCCTCTTTCCATGTAATTTCTAACTTAGAACAGGCTTCAGAGGCATCATCACTTGAGGATTGTTTGTGTGTGTGTGTGTGTGTGTGTGTGTGTGTGTGTGTGTGTGTGTGTGTGTGTGTGTTTAAAAACAAAAGAAACTCATGAAGCTGCAGAGTTGTGCTATTTCCTCCTCAGAACTAAGCTGGGGAAGGAGGCCCCCTTTTCATAACAGCCAGGCTGTTCTTGGGAGTGAAGATCTAGGACAAGAAACCCTCAAGAGGATGAGAAGATCCATGTGGGTGAAATATTTCCTCTGAGTGAGAAGCTGCTGTTTTCCAAGTAGGAGGAACTTACAAAATTCAATTTACTTGCACTGGTTTGTTCCTGCGGAGGAGAAGGGAAACTCTCCCTGTTGGATTTCCAGGCACTTTCATTCAGGCAGGGAAGGCAGCCCACAGTCTGCGTGGTGGAGCCTGGCCCCCTTTGGAGGAAAGAGCCCTTCACTCCTTAGGGAAATAGGAAAACCTCCACAATGCCGTGATCCCCAGTGGTTGGAGACTCTTCTGGTGGGATAGCTGAGACCTGGCTGAATCTGGAAAGGAGGATGTTCTCCTCTCAGAGACATGTCCAGCTGGGTTTAGGTTTGGCACCAGCTGATACCCCAGGACGCAGCGCAGGTGGGATGGTAGTGGTCATCTGAGAATCTCCTTTGGCTTTCAAGGGGCCTTGTGCCCCAAATTTCTGGTTGTTACTCCCTGTTTTGGAGCTAAGTTCATGAAATCAGTTGGGCTTGTTCCTACTGTACCAGCCTCCCTACCTGAGTGCTGTAGATTATTTGGGGTTGGCAGTGGAGTTCCCCAGGATCATGGTCTTGCGAGAGGGGTCCTTGGTGCTCTCTGAGCTTGCTTGACTAGCACTGAGGATGTTACCTAGTTATGGTAATGAAACATCTGCAAGAAAACAAACAAGCTCACAGAACATCAAGGACCCCTCATTTCAACCCTGAGCTACAAATATTCTCCTTTATTGGTCTTGGGAGACTGCAATCTGCCATCCTTGGTTTTGGCCTTGGGAGCAGCCCAGGATTTCATGGCCGCCCTGTTGGCCATGGGCCTCCCCCAGATCATCTTGGACCTGACCCAAGGCAATAGTCAATCAACACCGGATATGATCTTCTTTTTTTCAAGTTTTAAAAAGTTTTTATTAAATATAAAAAAATCCATTTCTACATAAATAGTGTGTTGTCTAAGTACAATTAATTTTGAGAAATAGTAATAATAATAACAATAATATTCATAATATTGATCACATATTTGCTTATCCATTTTGATAAACCTTCCTTGTGTAATTAATCATCCTCTTATGCTTCAAAATTTCTTAATTCTGTTTCTGCTAGTTAGCCATAGATAAAATAAGTCCCATGTTAAAAAGTATTCAGTTTCTTCCTTCTCCTTCATTTTAAGTGTTAATCTATCCACTTCTGCGCATTCTAGTATTTTTTTAATTACATTTTCCACTGCAGGGATCTCTTCACTTTTCCAATGTTGTGCAAACACGATTCTAGCTGCTGTTAAGACATGTAAAATTAAGTATATGTTCTCTTTATTGTATTTTTCTAGTAAAATGCCCAAAAAGAATATTTCTGGTTTTAGATCTATATGTTGCTTTACCATTTTTTCTAACCATGTATGTATTTTTGTCCTTTTTTTATTTGCCTTTGGGCATGTCCACCACATATGATAATACGAACCCGGTGCCTGATTACATTTCCAACATTTAGTGGACATGTCCTTAAATATGTTTGCCAATCTTGTCAGCGAAAAGTGCCATGTATAAAACATTTTACATAGATTTGCTTTGTATGCAGTTGATATTGTTAATTTATAATTCCTATCCCACAATTTCTGCCATTTATCTAACTCTATAGTATAACCAACATTTTTAGCCCATACTGTCGTTGTTTCCTTTACTTGATCTTCTTCCATTTTAATACTCAGTAAATAGCTATATAGATTTTTAATTCCTTTTTCATCCGTCCCTGTTAATATCTGATCTAGTTCTGTTGATTCTTTATAAAAGCCATACATTTTAGCATCTTTCTCATATCATGAGTCCCTTGGGAGTTGGGCGGCATAGAAATGTGATAAATTAAATTAAATTAAATCATGAGATGATCTTTTCGTTGAAGTAAATGTCAACGTGATCTGGTGGGTAAAATCTGGCTTTTAATTTATTATTTTAAATGGCATTTTATTGTAAGCTTCCTAGGGTTACCTTGAACAGATGGATGGCATAGAAGTTTAATAATAAATAAATAAATAAATAGGCTGGTCTCCTCTGGGAGGTTCATGAAGCTGCAGAGGTTTAATGGTGAAGAGAGAGAAGATTAGGACAAAGCTATTCCTGTCCCTGTCCCTGTCCCTGTCCCTGTCCCTGTCCCTGTCCCTATCCTATCCTATCCTATCCTATCCTATCCTATCCTATCCTATCCTATCCTATCCTATCCTATCCTATCCTATCCTCTCACTCTGTGTCTCTCTCCAATGCAGGGAGGAACCAGGCCATTTAGCAGCCTCCTCGCAGGTGAGTGGCCCCACGGGGGTCTGTGTGGGGAGGAGGGAGGGAGGGAAAGGAGGGCTTTGAGGTGAATGGTGAAGATGCTTTGGGAAATCCCTCTTCTCTCTCCTATTCATCTCAAAGGCTGGAAGGGAAGGAATTTGGGGGAGATCCAGAGGAGCTCTGGGAAGTGGGGGGGGGCTCTGCCTGCCCCCAAACTCTTCTCCTGCAAGGCCAGACTGTGGCTCCTTTGGGGATCTGACTGTCTTGGATCAGGAGGCTCAGAGAGCTGCAGAGAGGAGATTTGTCAAGGAAGGACGTAGCAGCTGTCCAGCTGAAGTCAAAAGACACTGAGACAAACTTGTAGGTTAGATATATAAAAGTATTTAACATTTATAGTTGCAGCAGACAAGATAGTCAGGAAGACAGGAACATCTTGAGGTAAATCAAAAGGCACACAGAACACACAGACGAAAAAGGCGGGAAAAAGGGAAACTCCCCCTTTATACCCACAGCAACCAATCACAGCATGGATTGCTTCATGCAGAAGCCAGCTCAACCAATCAACTACTGCCCATTGTACACTTACCTGTTCCAGCTCCTAAATTTAATATCCTAACAGGACTGGGGGGTCCCCAGTGCAGGAGGGAAATAGGGGCAGATGAAGGGCTTCTTGTGGGTCTTGCAGTCATGGATGGAGAAGGGGCTTCTCTCCACTCCTTCCAGCCCTCTGGGGATCCCTCCCTCCAGATGCTGAAGGAAGACATAGGGGGAAGATAAGGATCCATAGATCTCCGGGAGCAACACAGACTAGTATTGGATTCCTATATTTGAGGGGGGACATTAATTTTATGTAACTTGTGGGGCAGGTTCTCAGCCGCCTCAGGAGCCAGTCCCAGCCCTGCCTCTCCCTTCTTTCTACCTTGGAAAATCCCACCCAGCAGATCCCTCTTGAGGAAGCAGCAGTTCTCAGGAGTGGGATCAGATGGGCAGATTGGTGCTGATCCCTCAGCCTGGGTGGTGGGATTCTTCCTCTGGGCTCCCTCCCAGACTGACCCTGCCTGCTTCTTCCCTCTCTTTGCAGCACGAGTGGACAGTCCCAGCATGAGGAGAGAGGAGAGAAGATGGGACCAACCTTCTCCTGAATTAGGCCGGACTCTCAGGCCCATCCTGCATGCTTGGAACCAGGATGCATTTGGGGTCTTTTATCATCGCTTTTATCATTGGATCAGTAACCTTTTGTATTAGGATTGAGAGACGGAGGAGAAAAGAACATCTTACGTGTTTATAATTGTGGAATCAAAAGGATTCAAACTGGAATTAGTAGATATTATTTTATTTTTTATTTATTTGTATCCTGCTGAAGGCATTGAAGATATCTAACACACTTTCTCCTCCTATTTCCCCCACAACAACCACCCTGGGAAGTGGGTTGGGATGAGAGAGAATGACTGGCCCACCCAAGCCGTCTTTCGTGGCTAAGGCGGGATTTAAACTCACAGTCTCTTTCTAGCCTGGTAACCACTACAGCAAATTGTCTTGTGTAGCTTGTAAATAGCTTTGTAATATAGCTTTTAGCAACTACGTTGTTATTTTTGGTGACCTTTAATAAGCTTCTGCTGATTAACAGGTTTTAGAGAAGGGCCCATAGCGAATGGAGTGAGGAATAGAATGCAGAGGTTTACTTTAAGGAAGAGTGATAAACTGTTAATCTCCATCATAATTGCTTGGATTTAAAGTGGAGGTTTTTTTCTCTCTCTTATTGTTCTTTGTATAAGTTGTATAATGAATAGTATGTACCATGTACTGCCATTTATGGATTTTCACAGTTTAGGAAAATGAAACAGAAACCTTCCCCCATCAGGATGTGCTGAACGGACATAATTTTTTACTGCTGCCAACGAACAGCTGATTTTGCCACCAAAACTGGTTATTTGGTGGCTTTGCTCCCTGTTTTTTAAAGGGGTGACTAGGAGCAACCCAAGATGATCTTCGGACAATCATGCACAGACAGAGAAGAGAGGGGGCTGGATGCCTGCAGTTCTTGGTAAGGAGTGAACAGAAGGTCTAATCTCTTGCCATCCTTTCCCTTCAGCTGCTCAGCTTTCTTAAGCGCACCTGGGTTTTAACTGCACCTTCTGAAGCTTTACAATCTCTTGATTTATGACTAGTTCACTTCTGACCCTTTTTTACAACCTGGACTTTTACAACTTTTTTTTTCTCCTCTTTCATTGTTTACCATTAAATTCAAATTATTATTTTTTTAATAGTAAGAAAGTTGCAATGGACTTTAGGCTTACATTTACACAGTATTATACTATAAACCTTGCTCTTTCTAGCTTTTTTCTTTCTTTCTTTTTAAGAGCCTCGATATTTAACTCTTAATTTTTTATGGAAAAATTCCCTCCTTTTTAACCCTGGGGGGTGGGAATCCTTTTCCCCTGTGGAAGCTGTTGCTTATCTGCTTCTCTTGTCCTTGGAGAGAAAACAAAAAGTGTTTTTCATGTCTTCCAAAGGTGATAAATTATTTGAGGGGACACCGGAAAAAAGAATGCTCTCCAACGTACAGATTTTATTTGAAAATATAAACACAAAAAATTCCAGGGGTCAAAAACGGTTGTGGAAAATCAAGGCGATATGCAAAAGCAGGAAATATCAGCTGGACCTGATTTGCAATTTGAAGAATTGGTGTTTAATTGGTCACTGTCACCCCCAAAGAAGTACTTGGTTTGTCAGAAAAGATAAAAAACATTATGAATAGAAGAAACTCTTGAGATAACAGATATGACGAAGGATGGACTGGATTTTCCTGGCAAGAGGAATGCTGTGTTGTTGAGGAGAATTATTTAACAATGAATCTGGCAGAGATAGTTGCAACAGAGACTTATGAACTGCAATTGTTGGTAAAGTTTCTAATTAAAAACCTAAGGAAAAGTTTCACAATTAAGAACCAAAACACAAGTATTTAACACTGGACTCAGAGATAACGATGGAAGCGGTTTGTGAGAAATAAGAAATTGGGTAGACTTTCTATGAATAAATTATAATAACAGACTGTTAAGAGAGTGCTTTGAATTTTAACTTTGCTGTTGTTCAACTGTTAACTATTTTTCCTTTCACATATGTAATCTACGACAGGTCAGTTAGGCTGCAAATAGATCTACAAGATTATAAATTTTGGACCTCTTTTGCAAGGCGGGGAAGCTATTATTGTTGCAATAGATTTCTCAGCGTTCAACTGGGGGGGGGCATAATATGTCTTCCTGTTTTTTCATTAATTTTTTTCCATGTTTTTGTTTAGTTTTGTTCTGTCTCTGTTCAATCCTTTTCTTTTGGATTTTAATCTTTTACACAAAATACAATAAAATAAAATGGTCAATTCTAAGAGAAATGGAACAGGAGATTCACAATTTGGCCTGGCTCCTTTCCCCCTAACTGGTGCACATATACTATAAGAATACAAAAATAGTTTGCTGAAAATAAATGGTTTTGCCTTCTTCTTACCTGAGTTGCTTCCTATTATTGGAAGTTGGAAATAACAAGGATTTTCTCCTCCTGGCTGTTCAGAGACCCTGAGTTCCCTTTGAGTGGCAGGAAGGGGAGGAACCAAGGCAAAAACTGGGGGGCTCCTGGGGGCTCCTTGGGGAGGAGGCAGCCATTTTGCTCCTGTGTCCAGATGTTTCTCTTCCCTCAGGCTGTTGGCCAAGTGGCTGGACTCTGAGCCTCATCTGTGTCTGCCTTGTTGGGTTGCAGAACTTATGGGAAAGATGGGCCCCATATTACAGATACTCCTCATTTGATGATTATAATTGAGCCCAAAATTTATGTTCCTAAGTGAGAAATTTATTAAGTGGGTTTTGCCCCCTTTTACGACCATTCTTACCACAATTGTTAAGTTAATAACACAGTTATTAAATGAGTCTGGCTTCCCCATTGACTTTGTTTCGCAAAAGGTCGCAAAAGGGGACCACATGACCCTGGGACTCTGCAACCGTCATAAATATGAGGCAGTTGCCAAGCGTCCTAATGTAAATCACATGAGCCATGAAGATGCTGAAACGGTCATAAGTGTGAAAAATGGTCATATCTCCTTTTTTCAGTACCGTAACTTTGAAAGGTCAATAAATGAACTGTTGTAAGTCGAGGACTACCTGTATAGTGGACGCTTTTTGGGAGAGGAGTGAAAAGGGGGGGTCTTTCACCCCAATTCCTTTTGGGCTCCCCAGATGCCCTCGAGCTCCCATCTTTGACAGCCTAAAAAGGGGACAGTTTCCACCTGCAACACAAGAGTCACATTCAGCCTTGGGCAGCTAATAATGTAACCCACCAAACTCTTAATATTATAATAAACAATGTAAAAAAATAATAGAAGGGTTTACTGACTATATTATCTAATTTATATGCAGCCCAAGAGAATCCCTTTTCACTCAGTGCTGCCCAGGGAAGCCAAAAGGTTGGAGACGGCTGCTTTAAAGCATTAGGTGAGAATTCAATCCGTATTTCAGCATCTTCTACCAATTCAAAGGTTTTAGAAACGTATTTATTCATTAGACTCCTCTGACTGACCAGCTTTGTCTTGAAAATGCCACTAGAGCTTTTGAGCATTTTCATCCTCAGCGAAGATCAGTCGGAGTTTCTGACCTGCAACACAGAATTGTATGGCCGGGAGGGACCTCAGAGGTCTTCTAGTCCAACCTCTGTCTTAAGGCAGGAGAGCTTATAGCATCCTGGTCCAAAGGTTGTCCTGTCTGTTTTTGAAAACCTCCAGTGATGGAGCAGCCACAACTCCAAGAGGCAAACTATTCCTTTGAGTAAACGTTTTCACTGTTAGAAATTTTCTCCTTACTTCGAGGTTGGATCTCTCTTTAAGAAGCTTCCACCCTTTTTTTTCTTTTCTCCTGCCCTCTGAAGCTTTGGAGAAGAAGCCGATCCCCTCTTCTTTGTGGCAGCCCCCCCCCTAAGTACTGGAAGGCAGTTATCATGCCCCCCCTTCTCCTCTGCCAGAGGTTAGAAATCCCTCCCTCCTTCAGTCTCTTCACCATATAAGATTTGGCCTCCAGATCCTTTATGATCTTTTGTTGCTCTTCTCTGCACAGGCTCTTCCCTTTCTAGGGTCTCACTCTCAGCGTCCTTTTCGTATGGTGGACATTATCGCTTCTCCTGATCTTGATCTTCTCCCTCTGTTGATGCAGCCCAAGACTTCCTTGGCTTTTTTGGCAGCTCCCCCTGATCCCCGGCTGGGAGGGGCTGTGCGGGGTCTCCCCTCCCCCTCCGCTACGCCCCTCCCTCCCAGGCCCAGAGGATAGCGCCTGGACGTCTGCCTAGCAACAATGACGACACGGGGAGGCTGTTTTTCTACTGGTTGAGTTCGCCCAATCGCCAGCGGGCTGTACATTGCTGCGCTGTTCACCCCCCCACCCCAGCTGAAGAATACTAAGATCCCGAGGCTGCGCAATGACTGACTGAGGCGAGACCACCGCACAACTGGTCAGTTTATTCTAGTCAACTGTTAACCATACATAGCAACAACGGGGAACTCCTTTTATACTCGCTGTCAACGTCTTAACCAATCAGAACTGTTAGAACTTTGCTGCCCTCCACTAGGGGGAGCAGACCGCGGGTAGAACTTAATACACAACACCCGCCCCTCTCGGTTTGCGCGAGGCTTCAGGAGAAGTTGAGGATCGGGGCCAGGATGGCTCTACGCTCTGCGCCCTTCCTGCTCCTGGTGTTGGTGGCGGTCGCCCTACGAGAGAGCTGCTTCGGTGAGTCCCTTTGGGGGCCTTGGGGGGTTTCTCCCTTTTTATCTGCCAGGGAATCTCTCTCCTCCCCCCCAAAAAGTTTATTCCAAAAAGGAGAATCCTCTGGGATTAGGTCCCCCTCCAGGAGAGCCCCTCTGGGAACAGGACAAGGGTGGACCCTCCAGATGCCAGTCAAGTCTACCTGGGCGCCCCCAAGCGCAGTTCTTTCCCTCCCCCAAAGTGGAGGTTATCAGAAAGCGGCCTTTGCACGTAACCCGGTCAATTCCCAAACTTCCAGGCTGCCTTCGCCCAACCCAAAGAGCCTTGGTAGTACAGTGGTCTAAGGCACCCTGTTATTAAGCTGGTTATTAAGACCAGCTGCCTGCAATTACTGCAGGGTTCGAATCTCGCCAAGGCTCAAGGTTGACTCAGCCTTCCATCCTTTCTAAGGTAGGTAAATTGAGGACCCAGTTGTGGGGGCAATAAGCTGACTTTGTATAAATATTCAAAAGGATGAAGGCTATTGCTGAGCACATTGTAAGCCGCCCTGAGTCTCCGGAGAAGGGTGGCATATAAATCAAATTAAAAAAAAGAAAAAAAAACCCTCCACCCGGGTGGTCTTTCCTGCCTTTAGCGAGGGGCTTTTTTGCTCTTTCTGGTGCTGGTGAGGACCGACCCGTTTCTCCACTTGGTTCCACGGGGTATTTTCCACAGGGACGCAGTGCTATTGAGCGATTGGGGTAAAGCTGCCGATTGAATGGAGCAGGAGGATTGTCTACATTAGAGAAAGGCTCCTTTCCTCCTTGATTGTCACTTTCTCCTCCCTCCCCATCCCCACCCCCATCCTAAACCTCAATATCCCCAGAATATCAAGATCAGGAGAAGCCATAATGTCGGTTTATATTGCACAAGTGAAGCCACCCTTGGAATGCTGGGTACAACTCTGGCGACCACGATACAAAAAAGGCGCTGAGACCCTAGAAAGTGTGCAGAGAAGAGCAGGAAAAGATGATAAAGGATCTGGAGGCAAAATCTTATATGGTGAAGAGACTGAAGGAGGGAGGGGTCTCTAGCCTCTGGCAGAGAAGAATTGGGGGGGAGGACATGAAAACTGCCTTCCAGTATTTAGGTACTTAGTACTTTTTTTCTAGGACAGGCAGGAGTTTTTCCACCCAAAATCTTCCCCCTTTCATTTCAGAAGCCCCCAGGACGGGACAGTTTGCAGGATCCAAAATATTTAAAAGTTCCTATTATTCCTTAGTGATCAGATAGGGGGCCTGGGTGTGTTCCTGGCTGTTCCTCAGAGAAAATGTCAGTGCAGCAGCTTTTCAGAAGGCATTAAAAAAGCTGTCAGGATCTTAAGGATTAAATCGGCTGGGTTGGAGGCAGAAGAAGAGAAGAACCTCTGGAGGGAGACCATGAAATGAAATGAACGGCTTCTTTGGACACAGACAGTCCTGACTTGAGGAGGATTCACGATTGTGAGGACACCCAACCTGTGTTAGATTCACACGTTTCTCCTCTCAGGCAGCCTTCAGACTTCCTCATTGCTCATTGCAAAGAAGCGGCTTCTGGATCACAGAGAATCCGATTCCCCCTGGGGGAATGGAGGGAATGGACAGTGGGGCTATTTCTGTCTCTGGGCTGTGCAGGTGCTGCCCTTTTCTGTGTAGACGTAGGTTCTGCTCAAATAAGTCCTGTGAATGATGCTGAAAATGATCTTTAAAATCTTTGGTGCCCTGGAAGAATTTCTGATCTGAAGAGCTTTCACAATGGACACCCACAAGGGGCCTTGGAGATTTTCCAGCTTAATCGATTTCCCTGGAAGATTTTCTTTTCTTTTGTGGATTCTTTTAATCCACTTACAAACTCTTGTTTTTCTGTTCACTGGGCAGCCTTAGAATCTGTCCCGTGTTTGTATTTTGACGATTAAAACTAAACAGTGACTCCTGCTCAGATACCTGAACTCTGGGACCGGAGAGGGAATTTCCCAGCCTTTGGGGGGGGGGGCTATGTGGCTTCATTGCTGCTCCTTCCCCCCACCCCCACCCTTTCCCTTCCCACATCTCCCAGGCAAGCAGTCTGGGTTTCCCCTAAGGATCCCATGGCCTCTGGTCTCACCCTGGTTCCCCCTTCCTTCCCCTCCCCCATTTTATAAAAACTGCAGCTATGAACCATCCATGTTGGCCCCCAGTGAAGTTAGAATGGGTTTTTTCCCCTGAGAATGGAGACTTGGAGGGACCAGGTGGGGTTTCCTGATGGTTTTGAGCTTCTGGGGTGGAATCCTCTCTTCTTCCTGTTATAAACAGTACAAGTTCACATATAGAACTACTGGAGACAGTAACTTGAAAGCAACTAAAGAATTTATTCACGTATTTGCAAACAAGGGTGGACAAACAAAATGTTTATTCACCTTTTTATTTATATATTTATAATATATATACATATATACATAATACAAATTATATATTTATTAATAAATATTTTGTATAGATTATTTATATCAACTTTTTATTCCCTTACACAAGCTCAACCTCCCCCCTCCCCTTGTTAAAAATACCTCCCTAATATGGTCTATATTTCCCTTCCCCTTCTAAGAAGCCCCCTCACCTATGTCGTCTCTTAACCACGACTAGCATTTGCTAGCATAGCATAAGCCTCATTTTTTTGTACTTCCTCTGCCTGTGAATTCAGCTGATATTTAGGTATTATCTGCCTACCTGTCAGAACAGCTCAGAAATTTCCATTTAGCAAATACGTTAAATATGTTTACCTTTTCTTTAGAAACAATAGCAACTCCATTTTTATAAATGACATTCCTGTGTGGCCACTGAAACTTCCTTGGGGCAGAGACTGAGCCATCCAGAAGAAGGTTGGACGGAGGCCTTGCTGGAAGTCGGGAGGGCACAATTGGAGGGGACCACAAAACTTTTGGGGATCCTGCTCTCTCTTTGCCCTTGCTTTCCCTTCCCTTCCTCTCTCTCCCCTAACCTCTCTGCCCTCCAAGTCTTCAGGCCCTCCAGAAGATGCCGCTTTGTCTCTCGGTCATTTCACCTTCCGCTCCTCTTCCATTATCTCCCCTTTCATTTCCTCCTTCCTCCTCTGCCCCCCAGGTTCCTCTTTTCCCTTCCAGACCTGAAAAGGGGGGCAGCTGTTCCCCATAGCACCAGGGTCCCCCAGCAGAAGCCCCCTAAGTCTGTCCTTCTGGGTTGCTTCCAGGTTTCTCCTCCCACTCCCTGAAGTATTTCTCCACCGCCATCTCAAAGCCCAGTCAGGGGCTGCCCCAGTATATCACTCTGGGGTTTGTGGACAGTCAGGTCTTCCTTCACTACGACTGCAAGAGCCGCAAGATGCAACCTCGAGTCTCCTGGATAGAGAAGGTGGGGAAAGAGGACCCCCAGTACTGGGACAGAAAGACCCACAGAGAACGTGGCCATGAGGAGGCCTTCAGAAATCACCTGGAGTTTCTGAGGACTCTCTACAATCAGAGCGAAGGTGAGTGATGGGTCGGGTTGCTCCTCCGGCCCCATATTCTCCTCTCCGTAAGTGACGTTTTGTGCCAATTGCAGTTAATAAAAGTTACAGATAGTAAATCTATCTGTCCGTATATTGATAGGATGTCGATATTGATATAAATTGAGTAAAAAGACAACGAAATCTCCCCCCCGCCCCTCAATGAAAGGGCTTTCATTGCGGGGGGAGGGTTTCTGACCTTGGTGGACCTCCTGTTGTGTGGGAGGAAGGATCAACCCCCGCTTCCTGCCTTTTCCTTGCCCCCCCTCCAGGCAGATCCCAGAGCTCTGCCAGTTCTGCCCCTGATCCCCCAGGGTCTCCCCAGAACCCTCCAGGGGAGCAGAGCTGGACCCAGAGGGCTCCCCCTGGTGGAGAAAGGAGGAAGGAGACCGGCCAGAGTGGAGGGGAGCCTCCTTTCCAGGCTCAACAGCCCCAAATGTCCCAACCTTTCCTCAAAGGGAGGCTGCTTCCACCCTCCCATTGCCTGAGTCGCCTCCTCTGGACCTTCTCCAGCTCCCTTCGGTCCTTTCGGAGGTCTGGTGACCCGAAACGTCTCACAATATTGTGTGCATGTGGTTGCTCTACCTTGATTTATGTCACAAGGCTTTGTGACATCAGCCTCTCTGTGTTTTCAATACCATTTTAATGATCGCTGACATCCTGTTGGCCTTTTTAATTTTTTACATGAAGAGAAAAATGAATAGAAAGTAATAAAAACTAAAGGAGAGAAGGGAAATAAATCAAAGTAAGATGAAAAAGTACAAGAAGAGAAAAGCGGTGGCAGAAAATTAGTAAAGAAAGAAGATATTAAAAAATGGCTTCTGATATTCTTCACGGCAGTTCTAAAGATAAACATATTTCAGCCTCTCTAAAGCAGCCTTTCTTAACCTTTTGACCCTGGAGGAACCCTTGAACTATTATTATTCAGACCTCAGGAAACCCCTGAAGATCCAAGCTCAGAGAGAGGCCACGAGTCTTTCATGCCGAGACCTGTGGAGATGCATTAACACTGTTCCGACGCTAATAATGAAAAATGAAACTTTTCAGTGTGATCCCTCTGCTTATTTTTTGCTGCACACACAGCCAGTCGGTGCCAAACCTGAGATAAGAACACACAGATTCAACTGAAATAAGACAATTTCTGTCTTAGCTTTTGAGGCTTGAGCGATAAGACAGAGCTTGTTCTCATCTGTCAGAAGTCAAAAAGTGCAGCCCAATCAGTGGTGGTTTCCTCCCGGTTTGGCCCAGTTCTCCCGAGCTGGTAGCGGTGACGATATGACATCACCGAACCGGTTCTGGCCCACCCCACCCCTGCGCCCACCCACCCACCCCCGAGTTATTCTTACCTTTTATTTGGCCCCACCCCCAATCTATTGCTGCCTCCTGAGTCCCAGCTGATGGCTAGATGGAAAAAAACTGTTTAAACTCTTGCCGCGGGGCTTCAAAGGGCCGTCCTACAGCTGATCAGTGTTAAAAGAAAACAAATGAGTAGACCTGTGCCTGCAAAAATAAATGGGTAGACCAGTGCCTGCAAAAAATAAATGGGTAGCTCGGTACAGCTCTGCAAGCAGTTAAAAGCCTGGTAGACCAGTACCTCTGCTAAATCCTAAATAATTGTCACATGACCATCAAGCCACACCCACAAAATAAGCCACACCCATAGGACCGGTAGTAAAAAATTTAGAACCCACCCCTGAGCCCAATGTTCAGGGCTGAGCAGAAGATGCAGAGAAAGAGAACCTGTCATTCATGGGTGTGGAAAGGGAGGGAAAACACTGGTGAATTTAGTTTTGCAAGTGGTTTTCCATTAGATTTGAGACTTCCTGGCCTCCTTCCTCCCTCTCAAGCCCAAACAGGAGTAGAAACATTTCAGGATTTCCTTTTGGTTTCTTCAAACATTCCGTTTTCTTTGAAATCCAAGAATTTGGATTTCATGAAGTTGAAACATCTCCTCCAGGGCCTTCCAGAGCCTGTGAACTTCAAACTCATTTCAAAGGTCAATAATCCTTTGAGTGTCCAGATCAGACTGGGCCTCTTGCTCCTGTTGCTAAGGAAAAGATTCCTTCGTGGCCCTTCAAGGCTTCATTCCCACATTGGACTAAACCATCGTTTGTTTCTGGTTAGCCCAAGGCGGGAACCATTCCTTTTGACCTGGTGATATTTCTGAATGTAGATCAAGATTTATGTTCACAGGGATCCCTGCATACTTCTTTGCAGATCAACCGGATCCTCTTTGTGGCCACGAGGTTCTCAATCCCTTTTTGGAAATGCAGATTCAGGCAACTTTTCCAATGGTGGGATTAAAATTTTTTTACTACCGGTTCTGTGGGCATGGCTTGGTGGGCGTGGCTTGGTGGGAGGTCATGTGACTGAGTGGGAGGCACTTTGCTGTGAGTGGCATCAAGTTGGCCACACCCACTCAATCACATGACCGCCCCCCCCCATACACACCAAGCCACACACATCAAGCAACGCCCACAGAACCGGCAGAAAAGTTCAGCCACCTCTTCTAGCTGGCTGCTTCTCTCCTCCTTCTCGGCCTCATACACATAAAACAAACAGGCACACATCTCACGGTGCCGGAGGAACTCCCCCATGCGCCGTCTCCTCGCAGAAAGTCCCAGCGCCGTGAGATGTGCGCACGCTCTGTGTATATGCCCGAGAAGGAGGAGAAGACTTGGCCGAACTTTTCTGCCTCCCTTCGCAGCAGAGCTGCTGGGGAGGCAGTTCCTGCAGCCTGTTCCTGTCCCTTTATGGTCCCCACCTCCCCTCCGCATTGAAGTACCTTAAAGGGACAGACTGCGGTGACTGCCTTCCAAGCAGCTCCAAGCCTCCACTGCGAAGGGAGGCAGAAAAGTTCTACTCCCTGAGTCTCGCCGTTCTCCTCAGCCCCCCTTCAAGCGGCAGCAGGCTCTGTGGGACAACAGGGCCTCTCGCATTGTACACTTGCTACCTCTGCTTATCTGCTTGCAAGCGGCGATCTTCTCTGCTTCTCTCAGGACGTTGGTGAGGGCAGCATGCATCGCTTCTCAGGGCCAAGCGACGAAGCCTCTGTCACACCACTCCCCCAGCTCAAGGGGGGGCGCAGCAAGCTCCGGGGATGGTGGGGGGCTAGGGTGACTCTCAGGCTTACCGGTAAGCAGGCAGATCAGACTGCTCAGTTGTGGGGGGGTGCAGGCACCGGATGGGAAGGCAGTTTAGGAAGGCAAGCCACAGAACAGAGATTGTGCGAATGCGCAAGTGAGGATCCAGTGTGCTACATAGGTGAGGAGTGACTGGACGGAATGACCGGCGGGACTGGGCCAACCAGAGATGGTACTTACTGGTTTTCCGAACCAGGTCAAATTTCCGCTACCGGTTCTCCTGAAATGTCCAAAACGGCTGAATACCACTGTCAGCCTCCGCCTTTATATTACTTGCTTGCTCTGCTGCCATTGTAACCGGGGGAGGGGGGAGCTGTCTGGATATTTGGGAGGGGGGAAGTAAGCTGGTGGAGTAAATTGGAGAATTTCTCAGCAGCTGGGAGGCAAGCTGATAACGAGTCAAGGTCAACCGTCGTGGCATACCAGGAGGATGGAGCCATCGGAAGCTGCACCCCACATGATCCCTTGGGGGAATGTGGATTGGATAATCCTGACTGGACCATTGGGGGGAGGGTCTTAAGGATGCTTTCTATACAGTATGTGATTTTCTCGCCTATTGCCTCAGACCTTGCTTTTCTTTGGTTGCATTCAGTTCAAACCACCATCTTGTCTCTATTTCAGATTTTCACACTTTTCAGTTGATGTCTGGCTGTGAGCTCCGGGGGGACGGGAGCAAAGGAGGGTTTGAGCAGTATGGCTACGACGGGAGGACCTTCGTCACCTTCGACAAGGAGACCCTCACCTGGGTGGCTCCCGACCCCCAAGCCCAGATCACCAAGAGAAAATGGGATGCTATTCCAGGATGGAATCAGGGAAGGAAGGCCTACCTGGAGGGGGAATGCATTGAGTGGCTGCGGAGGTACCTGTCTTATGGGAAGGAAACCCTGCTGAGGACAGGTGAGCATCTGGATCCAGACGTTCGTCCTTTATGACCAGATTTGTTTGACACAGAGACTGGTTGCCCATGAGGGAATCCTTCTCCCCTTCCAGCCCCTCTCCAAAACACGGGAAGCCCTATTTGGTTCCCATTGCCAGGCTGCCATTCAATGAACCTGGAAATGCAGCCTCTGCCTGGTGGCTGTCTTCCCACCTTCAGGAACACCCCGTCACCCCATAGGGGTGCTCACCTTATAAACCTTTCCTGTGATTTGTTATTAATTTACCATCTAGACCAGCCCTCTCTTCCCCAGGTCTATCCCTTCCCCTCTGGGGTCCTTCATCCCTCCAGGATAAAATGAATGAGATTAGGATCAATGGGGGAATCTCTCCCTCCCCCCCCCACAATTGCCAACATCCCCTCCTGGCCCAGGGAGGACCCTTTCTCTCTTCCATCGGCATCACCTCTCTCTGTTCCCCTCCTTTTGGGAGACAAAAATCTATTTTACAAATTGATCAATGTGAGATTTCAAAAGCTCTAAGACCCTTGCTTTGATTCTGGCTCTCCTCCTCCTAAACTTGTGGTTGTGTCCCTTGGAAAGAGGCCGGGAGCAACCTCAGATTCAGGGGAGAAGAAGAGAATGCAAAATGTAGGGAGAAACTTCTATGTTTTTGTTAGGGAATTTGCAGAGCAACCCTTGAGTAGCAAGGGTGTGCACATAAAAGTGATTGAGAGTAGTTACGGATAAAAACAGCCAACACACAGATACACTGAGTTGTGTTTACTTTCAGGAAATAGTAAGGCACAGTCCAATAAACAGTCCAGGTCATACACAGATAAAGCAGTAGATAGTAAAACAATAGTCCAGGGATAATCCAATAACAAAGTCTTCTTACCAGTCGTCGTAGTCATACAAAATAAACAGTTCTTACAGTTGCAAACAGTAGCAAACACAGCAAAGAGCAGTAAAGAGCAGCAAAGAGAAACAAACCAGGTTTCTAGCTCCCTCTTAAGGACATTGGCTACAGAGCTAACTAATCAGGACACGGTATGATGCAATACAGCAGTCGTAAAGCTATATTGAGGGTTTATATATTGCCAACCCAACAAGTTAGGTAAAATCATTTCCTAACGGTTTTGTTGTTGCTTTGAAAAGGAACTTAAAAGACCATCTCCACTATCCCTCCCCTGAAGGGAGCAGCCCAAGATCAATCAGAGTTCAAAGCAGTCAGAGAGGAACTTTGTTGGACTCTCAATTTGCTGCCGGAGGTTTTTCAGGCTGAGTCCCTGGGAAGGACTCAAAATCAGGAGTCCTTGTGGTTGAGCATTTTCCAGATTTGGAGCATTTCTAAAACTCTTGGAGACGTTGCCGGTGTGGAGTTGGAAATCCCTGCTTTAAACCTTAAGCAGTGGGAGATTTTTCTGCCCCTCCAAGTTTCTCACCCACCTTCCAGGCTCTTGAGGGGCTCAGAGTTGATTCTGGTACGTATGCAGATCCCCCAGTGGTGACAGTGACCAGAAGGACAGAGGCCAAGGATGGGATGGAGACGCACATCTGCCGCATGGATAACTTCTACCCCAGGGAGATCGATGCCTCCTGGACGAGGGATGGGGAGGTGTGGCTACAGGACACCCTCCATGGATCTGTGGTCCCCAATGCGGATGGGACCTACCACTACTGGCTCAGCATCCAGATCGATCCCAAAGAGAGGGGCCGCTATCGGTGCCACGTGGAGCATGACGGCCTGCAGGAGCCTCTGGACGTGGCCATAAAGGGTGAGAGGCTGCAGGGAGGGAAAGGCTGGGCTCTTAGGTAAGCTGGAGGGTAGTGCGGGAGAAATCTGACCACAGATGTGTCCAGATGTGACCAAACCTGAGCTTTGATCCATTGGTTTCTCCCATGTTTGAATTTGGTGCACCTATCTACAGGGACCAGTCCATGGAATTGGCTTCAGGTGATTTAAGGGAAGCACCAGAATCCCATCTCAAGAGTTGGCCGATCCCTATAAAATGCCCTTAGATCCTCTTAGCTTCTGCCCCTGCCCTGTTTCCTGCCTCCAGCCATGGAGCAACAGTTATGCTGAACACCCCAAAAAAGAGTTTATTTTCTTGAGAATTCCCGAAGTACAAAAGTCAGGAGGAGTCTTGTCGTCCCTTTTCTTAGGGCCGAATTTCATTAAAATCCTTGAACTGCAGCTGACTCCAGGAAATGCAGAGTGGCTGGACTGATGCCTCCGTAGTCAGAAAAGGGACTAGTGAAAAAAAATATTCCTTTGGGTTTTTAAAAATCAAGCATCAATCAATCAGTGCTGTGGCTGCCATTCAGCGAGAGCCCTGAGTTTTGTGCAATAGAAATGGAAAGTTCCCTTCCTCAAACCTGCCCCCCTGGAGCCCCCACCAAATCTGTTTCTGTCATTTGAGGGACCTCCAGAAATTAGAAATCATCATATTCCATTTTTCAACCTGAAATTGTGGAAGTAAAAATACCATTTATTCCATTTCTGGACTGGCCACAACTCCCCACCTCCCATGCAGAAATCCGGGGAGGAAGTGGCATGCTATAAATTAGACGTTATAAATTAGACATTAGTCATTCCTGCCCCCAATATACGGCCCCCTCAAATGCTACAAGGAAGGCTCCAGATCAGCAGGATTTTGTGTTTCTTATTTGTAGTTGATCAGGATCAAATAGAAAATAGATCAAGGGATCTTTAAAAGATGACAAGGTCATCTGGATGTTCCATGGTATTAAAGTTTTATGGTAAATCGGGCATTTTATCTCATAAAAGCTCCACGTGGAGTCAGTCAAAGGCCTCTTCCGCTAATCGAAGAAGGCCGAATGGCCGGACAGTGAAAGGGGATCCAGAGCTGGCTCGAAAATCTTCCTCCAGGAGTCTCCATTGATGGGTCCTCATCAGGTTGAAGATATCAAGTTGATGCCAGGAAAAATTCTTCAATATTCCCTTTAGAGACTTGGAGGAATCGATAGAACAAATAGTTATCCAATTTGAAGAGGATGTAAAACTGGCCGAGTGAGCTAATATCCTCAAAGAAGGAAGTGAAATTCAGAACGGGCTGAGAGGGAGAGAATGAAATGGAAGAAGGGCTCAAAAGAAAACAATGTCCAGGAAGGATGAGACTCTCAAATGAGCTACTAAAGACACAATCACATCTGGCTGAATACTTTAATAGAACCTGTAAAAGGAGATGATAAGACTAGATGACCTCTTAAGTTCCTTCCTTCTAACTCTGTATTTCTAAATGTGACATTCTTCACTTAAGAAGCAAACATAAAAAATGCAAGTAGGGGTCCCAACCTGTGGGCCACAGTTTCACTTACCTTTGCTACCGGTTTGCTCGCACATGCGCAGATCATATTTGATGATGTCCGGGTGGGTGGGCGGAGCCTCCCACCACCACTGCTACCTGTTCACCCGAACCGGTAGCAACCCACCACTGCTTCTTCCCCCCCTCCCCCCAGTCTGAGCCTCCAACCCCAAAAGATTGGGGAACTCTGCTCTAAACGATGGCTAGCAAATGTCTTCATGCTACGGTTAGAGGGACACGAAGAGGAGCCCCTTAAACTTCTCAATTTTTGGAATTCCCAATCCTTTGGTTTGATTAGGTCTCTCTCCCCTGATTGGGATGATTGTTAGGGGTTCTCCATCAATTATCCTCTCTTTCTCCCAATTCTGTTCCAGAATCCAACCTGGCGCTCATCATCGGCTGCATTGTGGCTGCTCTTGCCCTGGTGTGTGTGATTGTTGGGACTTTGATATTCTTCAGTAAGTATCTTCTTCTGGGTGGTGGAAGGAAGATGGGAAGATTCCTGTCTAATCTCTCCTTTGGGGAGCTTCTGGGCTTCCTTCTTCCCTCTTTTCCCTGCCCTCTTGGGGAGCATCTGAGATCTCGGCTATTTGCTGGGACTCCAGTCTCGATGCAGCTGAATCTGAGATTCAGGCAGTCCTGTCTTCTTCTGAGTTGGGAAGAGGCATCCCAGTTCTGTCCCTATCAAAGGCTTTGGTCAAAGAGCAGCAGAGAAGGATTTCCATGAAAATCCTCCTCCCCTCCCAGTTGCTTCTGCTGCTTCTCCCAATTCCCCTCCATCCCTCTCAGAGGCAAATCAGGTGGTGTGTTTGTAGTCTGAAGATCTTCCTGTGTCTCTTAATAGGAGCAGCCTGGAGTGGTTGTGGCTAAACAAGTGTGAAAACCTCTCCTGGGGCTCTTCCCTCTACACAGGGGGGAAATTTGATGATCTCTGGTGGATTCTTTTGAGCTTTGACCGATTTTTCTTTTTGCAGAGAAATGTCAAAATAGACGCAGAGCAGCATCAAGTGAGTGATTTGTCCTTTTTACACGGTAGCTCCAAGTCAGAGCGAGAATCAGAGGCAACTTCAGTTGAGGTGTGTGTGCGTGTGTGTGTGTGCAAACATAAAAGAAGCTCCTGAAGAGTTGTGCTAATTTCTTCTCCCTCTCAAGATTTAAACTGTGGAAGGAGAGCCCCTTTTCATTTCAGCCAGGCTGTTCCTGGGAGTGGAGACCCCAAGGAGAAACATCTGGGACAAGGAACCCTCAAGAAGGTGAGAAGACCCTGCTGGGTGGAAGATCCCTCTGACTGAGAAAATGCTCTGTTTTCCAAGAAGGTGGAAAGGAGATGCTTGGCCATCACCTGATCAGCGGGAGGCATTTTGTTGTGGCCCGCTAGCGGCCTGCACGGATTGTTGCTGATCCTGACGACGAGGAGGCTGGTGTGGTGCTGTGGCAGCAGCCTGTGCAGCCGGCGCTCGAGTCGGACAGTGAGGAGGCTGAAGAAGATGTGGTGCCAGAGGCGGGGATTCAGCCAGGGCCTTCAGAATCTCCAAAGGCTCCTTTAAGTGAAGAGGATGAAGAGGATGAAGAGGAGGAGCTTCTTCTCAATGTACGGGCACACAGAGCTGCCAAAAGCCAGGAGTGGTTCCTCAGGAGGAGGTCTCCTCAATAGTAAGGCTTGGGGCTAATTGGCCACCCCCTTAGCCTATTTAAGAAAGAACGCCACTTGCAACAAGCTGTAGAGAACAACTTTGGTTCAATCTCTTTCGTGTCTGCAAAACTGCTTCTGGACTTTCTGCCAACTCTCGTTAAGACTGTGATTTCCTTATCTCAGAACTCTGGTAGGCTGTTAAGACAGTTCATTAGCACCCTTTGAATGATAAAGACTAAGTTATTTTGAGTAAATAAGCTTTGTATAGAGGTTGTGTGTGTTGCGTTCTTTGGGGTCCGTAGCTGGGGCAGAACACATTTTGAGAAGAAAGGAGGTTTGGTAGATGCCAGCTGGATCTCCTCTTGCTCTGCCACCACAAGGCTCTCCAACTATGAAGAGATTGGAAAAAGAGACTTTGGAGCCATCTGTAGCTTGTGCTCCTTCTGTGTCTTGTTCTGGTGAAACACAAATCTATTCGGGTAGTTTGGGACAATTTTGTACAGAACCCAAGGAGCAAACCATTCAGATCTGCTCAAAGAGACAAGAGACCTGCGGAAGTCAGGAGGTGAGGACAGATTTTGTCTTCCCAGGAGATGTGGGATGAATTTGGTCTTGGGCCTCCTGAGCATTTTAACGGGATATGCTGACTTTTTATATCCACTGTAATCTGGTTCCCCCGTTGACTTTCCTTGTTGGAAGTCCCCTGGGAGGGTCACATGACCTCAGGGATGCTCCAAAGGTCACAAGTGCAGGGACCAGTCCCTTTTTTCAGCAGTGTTGCAACCTTGGACGGTCATTAATTCAAGGACTACTTGTAACGGCAGGGAAATTCAGGCAATGTTCAATTTACCTTCACTGGTAAATTTGGTGAATTTTCCCTTCTGGGACTTGTGTGTATTGTGTGTGGATCCCATTTGCATGAGATGCTGCACCATAAACCGACCAGTCAGTTAAAACAGGCGAAGGTTACGCCTGTTGTGGACCCAGGGAGGAAGAAGAGGATCTGAAGGGGAGGCTCATCTTGCAGACAGCCAGTTTCCAGGGACTCCCCAGGAATTGGAAGCTCCCTCTAATGGCCTCGGCCTTCTTCATCGGTAGAGATACAGACGGGTGAAAGGGAGGCAGAAAGTCCCTCTGTAAGCTAATGCCTCTGTTGGGTTCTGTTTTCCCTGCAAGGCTGGCCAAGAAGTCAGGCTGGAAGGAGGGAGGAGACTTTCATCTGTTTATTTCTGCAGAAATGGAGAGCCTGACCTTTGGGACAGAGGTCCAAATCTAGCATGCTGTGAAAAATACGGCTCAGATATTCACACAGAAAGTTTCTTATTTACAAGCAACCGATGTGAATTCTTTCACAGGATTAGTGTTCACACCTGGTCAATTACATTTGTCTTTTTGTGTACAAGATTACATTTGTTGTACTTAATACGAGCGTGAAACTTTCGTAGCCTATCATTGTCAGGAATCGCCTGTCGCAGGTCTGTAGTTTGTCTGCCTGCCTGTCTCACAAAGAGAAAGGGAGTTTACACCATCCAGCAGCTAATTTGATCAGTTCCATCTTTTGCTGGCTTGTTTCTACGTAATTTGATTAATTTCTGGCTGGCTTGGTGCTTAAAACAGTATTTGACACTTTTCTTCTGATGGGATTTTCCTTCCCCCTTTTGCCAAGTGAGAGGAGAAACTGCAAAGCCTCAAACCAGCAGGGGGCGCCATTCTCCACCTCATCCCTGTTTCCAGAAATTCTTAGGGCCTTGCTGAGACTCTCCGATCTGAAAGATTTTTCAAAGATTTATATTCTTTTATGTTCTATATTTTATATTCTTGAACTATCAAGCTATCCCCTCCTCTTCCCCACAGACAGGGCCTAATTTCCACTCTGTACATGCTCAGTGGAAAGGTGACTGCAGAAGAAAGGAGATGATTCAAGCCCTGAAAAGACAATTGAATGTTTCTCATACTGTGTTCATCGTAGGAAATGTAAAATCAGCTGAATTTCAGGATCATAATAACAACTCGAAAGAGGGATTTATTATTTTAGTCCAAGGAGTCTCCAGAAGAACCAGCAAAGGAGAGAGCAGCCATCTTAGTTTATTTTGGGAAAAGAGAAAAGTTTGAAGCTTCTTAAAGATTCATGGCTTCACCAGAGAAGAAAAAGAAACAGGGAATTTATATACTGTATTTGACACCTCTGATATTTTCCCATAGAAAGAAATATCTTCGCCTTGAAGATGGCACAAAAAAGCCTTTGAGCATTTTTATCCAGAGCGAAGATCATTTGGGGTTTCTGACTTAAAACACAGAAATATAGGACTGGAAAGGATCCCAGAGGTCTCCTAGTCCAACCCTCAGATCCAGGCAGGAGATCTAATACCTTCCAAGCCTAACGGTTCTCCAATCTATTTTTGGAAACTTCCAGTGATCGACCACTCACAATTCCAGGATGTAAGTTATTCCACTGATTAATTGTTCTCATTTTTAAAAAATTCTCCTTCTAGATTGGATCTCTTTTTAACAAGCTTCGAACCCAATGACTTCTTGTCCTGCCCTCTGGGGCTTTGGAGAAGAGGTCAATCCCTTCTTCTCTGGGATAGTCCCTCAAGTGCTGGAAGACAGTTATCCTGACACCCCACTCCCCAGTTCTTCTGTTCCACAGGCTGGGCATCTCTTTCTCTCTCTCTCAATGGTTCATTTAATCTTCCTTGATCACCTTTGTTGCTCCTCTCTGCCCTCTTTCCAGGGTTTCAGCATCTTTTTTGAACCGTGGAGATCAGAAGTGGATCCAGCATTTCAAGGGGGGCCACACTAGGGCAGGATAAACCGGTATTATCATTTCTCGGGTTCTCTGTATGTTCTCCCTCTGTTGATGCAGCTCAGGACTGCACTGGCCTTTTTGATCCCCTCCCCCTCGCCTGCGCCCCTCCCCCCAGGCTTAGGGAGCCCCCCTCTTTTCTGACTCCCTCAGTTCTGCCCCTCCCCCAAGAGGCGGAATGCCTGGAAGGGGATTTCCTGCTGGAACTTTCGCTTTCCTTTCCCCTCCTCTCTGGCCGGTTGCGCCTGGACATCTGCCTAGCAACAATGACGACACGGAGATATCTTTTTTCTACTGGTTGAGCCTGCCCAATCACCGCCTTGCTCAGGGTTGTTCCTTGTCGGTGACCCGGGGAGCGTCTTTCTCTGCCTGCGACTTCAGAAGCCCTGAGCGGAGGCTGAGGATGGCGGCCAGGATGGCTCTGCGCTTCCTGTCTCTTCTGCTGGTGGGGGTCGCTCTGCTGGACAGCTGCTTTGGTGAGTCCCTTTGGGGGCGTCTGGGGTTCCGGCCCCTTTTTCTACTGTTGGGAATCCATCCAGGGAATCTCTCTCTCCCCCCAAAAGTTTCTTCCCAGAAAGGGAATCCTGATTCGGTCCTCTTTCTAGTCCGCTCCCCCTCTGGCCACTCTCAGAAGGGACCCCAAAGCGTGGATGGGACTCTGCTGCCTATCCTTACCCTCCTAGAGCCCCCCTGGGAGCAGGACAAGGGTGGCCCCTCCAGATCTCAGTCCAGTCTACCTGAGTGCCCCTCCAGCGCAGTTCTTTCCCAATTTCAAAGTGGAGGTTGTGGGAAAGCGGCGTTTCCATGGGATCAGGACAATTCACGAACCTCCTGGCTGCCTTTGCCCAACCCCTCCGCCTGGGTCGCCTCTCCTGCCTTTTGGGGTGCTTGGTGGCTCTTGGTGGCTTTTGGTGCTGGGAGGACCTGGCTTGTTTCCGGAAGCGGTTTGGTATCTTGGCTGATGCCAAGGCTGGTGCCATCGAAGTGTTGGGATAAGGCTGCCCTGTGAATGCAGCAGGAGAAGAGCCTCGAGAGAAATGCTCCTTCAATAACATTTCCGCCTTTAGGACGTTCACTTTCTCCTCCATCCTAAACCCCAACATCCCCAGAGCTTTTCTCTAGGCCAGGCAGGGATTTTACCACCCAAAATCCTCCTCCTTCCATTCCAGGATTGCTCAGCATGGGTCAGTTTGCAGAATCCAAAGTATTTAAAAAGTACTGTTATTCCTTAGGAATCAGGAAGGGGCCTTGGGGTGTTCCCAGTTGTTTGCTCTGAGAAACGACCGTTTGAAGGGAGCAGCATTTCCGAAGGCATTAAAAAAGCTGTCAGGATCTTAGGGATGAAAAAGGCTGGGTTGGAGGCAGAAGAAGAGAAGAACCTCTGGAGGGTGACCATGAATTGAATCGCTTGCTTGGACACAGACAGGCCCAAACTCACCAGCCGTTCCTGACTGGAGGCACATTCACCATTGTGAGGATGCCAAACCTATGCACACCTGTGTTATAGTCACACGTGTCATTTCTGACATGAAGAGGATTTGTGGCTGTGAGGACCCCCAACCTGTGTTACATTCACACGTTTCTCCTCTCAGGCAGACTTCAGACTTCCTCATTGCTCAGCCCCACAAGGGAAAGAAGCAGGTTCTGGATCACGGAGAGTCCGATCCCCACTCCTTCTGTTAGAGAAAAGCTCTGATCCCTTTGGATTCTGAAATCTCCCCAGAGCAGGAAGTGGATCTGGGGCTCCCTCTCCCCAAAAGCTCTGAGAAGCCCCTGGGATTGTGGGGAGGAGCAGGAAGGAGGAGGACCAGGCCTTTCACTTGGACTGGAAGACCATACTGGAGGGAATGGACAGTAGGACTTCAGGTAGTCCTCGACTTACAACAGTTCATTTAGTGACCGTTCAAAGTTGCAAAGTCGTTGAAAAAAGTGACAGCATGACCATTTTTCACACTTATGACCATTTTAGCGTCCTCATTGTCACGTGACCAAGATTTGGATGCTTGGCAACTGGTTCATGTTTATGACGGTTGCAGTGTCCCTGTATCACCTGATCCCCTTTTGCAACGTTCTGACAAGCAAAGTCAATGGAGAAGCCACATTCACTTAACAACCGGGTTATTCATTTAACAACTGCAATGATTCATTTAACAACTGTGGCAAGAAAAGTTGTAAAATGGAGCAAAAAACTCACATAACAAATATCTCACTTAGCAACAAAAAATGTGGGCTCAATTATGGTCATAAGTCGAGGACTACCTGTATTTATTTCTCTGGGCTTTGGAGGTTCTGCCCTTTTGTATGCAGACCCAGGTTCTGCCCAAATACGTCCCATGAACGATCCTGAAAATGATCTTCAAAATCTTTGGTGCCCTGAAATAATTTCTGATCTGAAGAGCTTTCAGAATGGACACCAGAAAGGGGTCATGGAGATTTTCCAGTTTAATTATTTTCTTTTAATTCTTTTAATCCACTTACAAGCTGTTGTTTTTCTGTTCATTGGGCAGCCTTAGAGTCTCTTCCGTGTATCTATTTTGACGATAAAAACTAAATAGTGATGTAATGTGATTTTTTTTTTTGTCATTGTTAGTAAAGTTTAGCATAGTTTTCTGTCTTGTGAATTGAGCCTGTCCTTCAAAGAAGGGCTGAAAAAACTTTGATGCTCCTCATTCAGGAGTTTGCATGATAGAAACTGACATAATTTTGTGTCTTTATGTTGGATTCCCTAGAGGGGCTTTTTTAAAGATGACAGGACCCTCCAGACAGAGACTGAATTTAGGGAGAGGACCCCAGCTGACACCCCCTCCCCGAAATATGGGCGATGGCAGCAGAAGCTCCCACCATCCTCCTTGGGGGCAGGGGGTGGGGCCGGGGTGGAGGGGCCAATGGTTTTCTGGGGGTGAGGAGAATTCTGGGAGTTGAAGTCCAAGTGTCGGAGTCTGAGAAACTCTTAATTTAGGCCTTTACGTTGAGAGTAACACTGATCACGTGAAGAGTTGGGTAGCCAGGATCACAATCCCCTCCAAGGTGGCTGAGGGGCATTTCTGCCTTTCTTTGTGCTGACCAAGTGCAGGATCAGCCCCAGAGGAGGAGAAGGGTCAGAGCAGCTTCTGGGGAAAGTGAAGGGGGAGATTCAGAGGGAATCTGGTGCATTGCAAAGGTCTTTGAAGGAGAGTCTGAGGGCCCTAATTGGGTTGCTGAAAGGAAGAAATCTTGGTTTAATCAGACTGAGATTTTCTGTGGAAGGAGGAGGAGCCCCTCTGAGTCCTGGGTTCAAAATCAGATTCTTGCTTAGATGGCTGAACTCTGGGAGGGGAGGGGGGATTTTCCAGCCAGGAAGGGGGGGGGAACAGGGATGAGGAGGAAGATCTGGGGGGCTAAGTCACTTCATTGCTCCTTCCTTCCCTCCCCCCTTTGCATTTCCCCATTTGGGTTTCCCCCAAAGGATCCCATGGCCTCTGGTCTCACCCGGATTCCCCCCCTCCCCCATTTTATAAACTCCCTCCTCAAATCTGCACCTATTAACAGTCCAGGTTGGCCTTCAGTGAAGTCAGAATGGGGGTTTTTTTGTTCTGTGAATGGAAAGGAGGGGGGACCAGGGGGGGTTTCCTGCTGCTTTTGAGCTTCTGGGAGGGTGGAATCCCCCCTTTTACCTGTGCAGCCATTGCAGCTTCCTTGGGGCAGAGGCTGAGCAACCCAGAAGGGGGTTTGAGGGAGGCCTTGCTGGAAGGGGGGAGGGCACAATTGGGGCAGGTAAAGTTTGGGGGACCCTCCCCTCCCCTCCTCTCTCACCCCCCCCCACCTTCCCTTCCCTCCAACCCTTCAGTCCCTCCAGAAGCTCCTTTTTTTCCCTCTCAGTCGCTCCCTCATTTCCATCTCCTGCCTCTTCTTCCACCATCTCCCCCTTCCTTCCTTCCTTCCTTCCTCCTCTGCCCCCCAACTCTCCTCTTCCTTCTTCCTCCCCAGAGCCTCAGATGGGAGCCTCCATGGGATCAGGGTCCTTGGCTGAAGCCCCCTAACTCTTCCCCTCTGGCTCCCTTCCAGGCGCCTCCTCCCACTCCATGAAGTATTTCTACACCGGCATCTCGGAGCCCACTCAGGGGCTGCCCCACTTTGTCGCTCTGGGGTTTGTGGATGATCAACTCTTCAGTTACTACGACAGCCACAGCCAGAAGCTGCAGGCTCGAGTCTCCTGGATGGAGAAGGTGAGGAAGGAGGATCCCCAGTACTGGGACAGAAACACCCGGAATTTTCGTGGCACTGAGGAGGTGTTCAGAGAAGGCCTGGAGATTCTGAGGAGTCGCTACAATCAGAGCGAAGGTGAGTGATGGGTCTGGTGGCTCCTCCGGCCCTATAATCCCCTCCCCAGGAACCAGAGGGGGGGAGAAAGAAATGGGTCCCTTCAAAGGGAAAGGCTGCTTCCACACCTTTTAAAAAGTCTTTTTTTATATGTTTATTCTTTTTTTAAAAAATCAATCTAACCTTCTCCTTCCCTCCATAGCTGACATTTTCTGCCAAGTGCAGTTAATAAAAAGATTCTTTAAATTTGTCCATCTCTCTTTCTGAATGTTGATATGGATATGGATATAAACTGAGGTAAAAAGAGACCAAAATCTCCCCTCCCCCCCATGAAAGATGGAGGATCTGGCCTTGGTGGATCTCCTGCTGTGGGGGAGGAAGGGAATCACAGATCCCCCCCCAAAAAAAACAGGCAGGTGGATCCTAATTAGATCCTGGGGGAAGCAGGTCCTCCTCCTTCTGTCTGTTTCCACCCCAGAGAAAGGAGGGATCGAGTGCAGATCCACCTGGGGAGACTAGATCCCTTTCCTTCTCCCCCTTTTTGGAGGGGCGAGTGGGGCCCAAATGCCAGGTGCTTCTTCTCACCCTCCAGTTGGAAGGAGAGGCCGGGAGGACCAAATGGGGGGCTGGGGGGCTTTTGTGGGGGGGGGATCTCAGGGCCAGGATCCTCCCAATCTTCATGGGGAAGAGACGGAAAAGAAAGAAACCTCCATTTGGGGCCCTTCCAGAGTCTCTCAGAGCCTTCATGGCTTCCCATCCTTGGTCCCTCAGGCTGAACTCCTGCACGGCCCTCTTGGTGGGGCTGCCCTGGAGGGGGGGAGACTCTTTCTTCTGCAGCCCCCCCCCTTCTGCCATCTTTGGGGGACAAGATTCACCTTCAAGGAACCTTATTTGGGGAGGGTCTGCAAGCAAATGTGTGTGTAAAGAGAGGCTGCTTTTGGCTGAAGAAAAGCTTCTCCACAAACAGGAGCCATTTTCCCTCCTTTCATCCCAAGGAGCTGCAGCCCCCCCACAATTCTTCCACCCTTTCCTTGCCCCTCCCCCTCTACAGGTGACCCCAGAGCTCTGCCAGTTCTGCCCCTGATCCCTGAGGGTCTCCCCAGATCCCTCCAGGCCCCCTGCTGGCCTCCCAGGGGAGCAGAGCTGGACCCAGAGGGCTCCCCCTGGTGGAGGAAGGAGGAAGGAGACCGGCCAGAGTGGAGGGGAGCCTCCTTTCCAGGCTCAACAGCCCCAAATGCCCCAACCTTTCCTCAAAGGGAGGCTGCTTCAACTCTTCCATTGCCTGAGTCGCCTTCTCTGGACCTTCTCGGGCTCCCTCCTCTCGTTTTGGAGGTCTGTTCACCAGAAACTGCACACAATATTCCAGATGTGGCTGCAGCCTTGATTTTTTTTGTTTAATTTGATTTATATGCCGCCCTTCTCCGGAGACTCAGGGCGGCTTACAATGCGTTAAGCAATAGCCTTCATACTTTTGTATATTTATACAAAGTCAGCTTATTGCCCCCACAAACTGGGTCCTCAATTTACCTACCTTAGAAAGGATGGAAGGCTGAGTCAACCTTGAGCCTGGTGAGATTCGAACTTACAGTAATTGCAGGCAGCTGGTGTTAATCACAATGCTATCAGTCTGCTGAGCCACCAGGCCCGTTTGCTCTAAGGCTTTGTGATATTAGCCTGTGTTTTCAATACCATTTTAATGATCGCTGACATCCTGTTGGTCTTTTTAATTTTTTAATATCATTTGTATTAAACCTTTTAAACAAAAGTTAAAAACTAATAGAAGGTAACATAAAGTAAAGGTGATAAAGAAATAGAAGAAAAATAAAAAAAGTACAAGAAAAGAAAACAATTGAAGAAAATAAAGAAAAAAGACAGAAAGAAGTGGCTTCTGATATTCTTCACAGCGTTTCTAAATATTACTACATTTTAGCCCCTCTAAAGCAGCTTTTCTTAATCTTTTGGCCCTGAAGGAACCCTTGAACTATTTTTCAGACCTCAGGAAACCCCTGAAGATCCAGGCTCAGAGAAAGGCCGAAATTGTTTCATGCATAGACCTTTGAGATGCATTAATAGTGTTCTTACACGAACAATATAAAAATGAAACTTGCCTTTTCAATGTGATCCCTGTGCTTTCTTTTTACTGCACAAATATTCAGTTCTGTACCAAACTTGAAATAAGAACACATTTCATCTTCAAGTGAAATAAGACAATTTCTGTCTTAGCTTTTGATGCTTCTGAAGTACGACAGAGCTTGTTCTCAGAAGTTGAAAACTGCTGCCACATGTTCAGGGCCTTCCTGTGAATGGCAGGAGATTAATCTTGGGCAGAAATCCAGAACTATTTTTTGTCATGGGGAGATCAGGGAATCTCCTCTCGAGAGCAGGATCAGATTGCAGCTCACGAGGTTCTTCCTCTTCCTCCAAAGGGAAGTTTTCTGGCTGAGCAGAAGATGCAGAGAAAGGATCCTTCACCTGTCATTCCTGGGTGTGGAAAGGGAGGGAAAGGACTGGTCAGTTTAGTTCAACTGTACTTCCAGGAGGTTTTCCCTTAGATTTGAGAATTCCTGGCATCTTTCCTCCCTCTCAAGCCCAGACAGGAGTAGAAACATTTCAAGATTTCCTTTTGGTTTTTTCAAACATTCAGTTTTCGTTTAAATCCAAGAATCTGTTCACTCGCAGTTGAAATATCTTCTCCAGGGCCTTGCAGAGACTGTGAACTTCAAACTTCATTTCAAAGGTCAATAACCCTTTGGGTCTCCAGATGAGACTAAGCCACTTGCTGCTGTTGCTAAGGAAAATATTCCTTTGTGGCCCTTCGAGGCTCCATTCCCACATTGCACTAAACCATGGTTTGTTTCTGGTTAGCACAATGTGGGAACCAGCCTTTGTGACTTGGTGCTATTTGTGAAGGTAGACCAAGATTTATGGTCACAGAGGGATCCCTGCAAGCTTTTGTATAGATCAACCAGATCCTCTTTGAGACTACGACATTCTCAGTCCCTTTTGCAGCCGCAGATTCAGGCAACTGTTCCCTCTCAGGGATCCCTTCCTCCCCCCCCACCTCCCCCAGAGGAACAGCAGAAAGAAAGATGGAAGGATATCTGTCCCTCCGTTTCTTTTACCAGTGTTTCTTTTCTCAGTCTCTCTTGGGATCCTCTGCTGGCTTTTCCAGATTCCCATTTCCTGAGGAGCTTCAGGGACTCTGTACTGGGGGGAGGGGGGGAAATGCAGGGAGGCAGGTAGAGGGAGGAGAGAAGGGCGGTTAGTGATGGGGGTTTCTTTTCCTTGAAAGCTAGGGAGGAAATGAGGGTCTCAATGCCTCTGTAAAGTCCCTGCAGGGAGGGAGGCAGCTCCATCTATCTTTGGGACTCCCCAAACCATCCTCCTGTCTATCTTTTAGGCCTGCACACATGGCAGAACATGTATGGCTGTGAGCTCCGGGGAGACGGGAGCAAAGGAGGGTTTGACCAATATGGCTACGAAGGGAGGACCTTCATCACCTTCGACAAGGAGACCCTCACCTGGGTGGCTCCTGTCCCCCAGGCCCAGATCACCCAGAGGAAATGGGATGCCGATCCAGGAATGACTCAGGGAAACAAGGCCTACCTGGAGAAAATCTGCATTGAGTGGCTGGAGAAGCACCTGTCCTATGGGAATGAGACGCTACTGAGGAGAGGTGAGCATCTGAATGCAGACTGGACTTTCCTCCTTTATGGCCGGATCTCTTGTACACATTCAGCCCCTTTGGGTCCCTGGTCTGGAGTTTGTTTGCCCTGGTAGAAATCCTCCCCCTTTCAGCCTCTCTCCAAGACATGGGAAGCCCTGTTTGGTTCTCATTGCCAGGCAGCCATTCAATGGACCAGGAAATGCAGCCTCTGCCTGGCAGCTGTCTGGGTGGATCAGGCAGGACAATCACTTAGTGGTGTCCTGTTCACTGCCCACAATGAGGCAACCATTTGGGGCTATTCAATGAAATCCCCATTAGCCAAACTGTAGTCAAGTGTGGTGGGCACCTTTAATTTCCCCCCATTAACTCTGCTTCTCCCCACATCCCCATAGGGGGTTCCCTCCCTGCCTTGTACCTGATGGTGCATCTCCCACCCCCACCTCTAGAGGGCTCCACTTCTACCATTAATAAGACATTATCAGTGCCCCCACTTGGGCAAAGAAGGCCATGGATGAGGGGTTCTTTTCTTTTCTTTCCAGGACGGTGGGGGGAGCAAAGTTTCTGTCAAATCTCAAACAGGTTCCCACAATTCTCAGTGAGTCTTTCTCAAAACAACCCCCTCCCCACCTTCAGGAACACCCCCTCACCTCACAGGGCGGCTCACGTTACAATCGTTTCCTAGAATTTTTTATTAGTTTACCATACAGACCCATGATGGTGAACCTATGGCACGCGTGTCACAGGTGGCACGCAGAGCCCTTTCTGCGGGGATGCAAGCCGTCGCCCCAGCCCAGCTCCAAAGCACATGCGTGCACCTCCCATCTGCCAGTTGGTCTTCGGGTCTCTGCCACGTATGTGCACGGGGGCGGGCCTTCCCTCATCTCTGCAGGTTCCACCCTCTGCAGGTGCCTCTCCATGGCAGGAAGGCAGGAGAAAGCTAGGATTCGATGGGGGGAGAAACCGTAAAGATTGGAGGAGGCACAGAAGGCAGGAGGCAGCTAGGATTCGATGGGGGAGAAACTTTGGAGATCGTGGAAGGCAGGAGGCAGCTAGGATTCGATGGGGGAGAAACTGCAAAGGTTGGAGAAGGCAGGAAGGCAGGACAAAGCTAGGATGTGATCTCCATGTCAACATGCAAAGCTTTCAAGTTGCCATGAGCAGGAGGGAGGGAGAACTGAAGTGAATTCCATACATTTTTCTGACCGCAATCAGAAGGAGGGTGTTAGGTTTCACAGCCAGGCAAAGTGGTTAATTGGAGAATGTGATTATGACATGGCAGGGGGGAGGGGAGAGACAGGGTCATAGAGGAACATAAATCGACGTGGGATCAGTCCTGACTGCATCCAAGTATTGCCGGAATGGTGCTCCCAATAAATCACTATATTGCCTTTGAAGTTTGGATCATGGCTCATGAATTAATTAGGGCATCTTTCAGAAACTTGACACTCCACAGTTTCTCCCTCATCGAGTCCTAGCTGCCTCCCCCCCACACCCCATTTTGGGCCTGAAAAGCCTCCTGCACCAACCTGGAAGTCAAAACGGGGCCCAGGGCGCATGCGCAGGGAGCACTCACATTGCATTTTGGGGGTCTGTCACAGGGGCACCAAAAAGGTTAACAATCACTGATATAGACCATTCCTCTCCCCTAGGTCTACCGATTCCCCCCTGGGGTCCTTAATCCCTCCAGGATCAGTTGGATGAAATTAGGATCAATGGGGGAATCCATCCCCCCCCCCCCCCGATGATTGCCAGCAGCCCATCCCAACCTGGGGAGGACCTTCTCTCTCTTCCACTGGCATCAATCTCTCTCTGCCCCCCCACCTTTCAGAGACAAAATCTCTTTTCCAAACTGAAACTTCTATGTTGTTGTCGTCTTTAAAGGGAACTTAAAAGAGCATCTGTGCTATCTGTTAAGTTGGGTGAATGAGGACACAGCAAGCCAGAGTAGTTAGTGACAACAGCTCTTTATTCTATAGTGAGACTCCAGCAACTGACCCAGGGAGCCAGCTCCCTTTATATACCTTGCAGCTGTGGTGGTCAGCCAATCAGCTGAGGGTCAGTTAATTCGAACTTCCCGCCAAACAAACCTATTTACATAACACTCCTCCCCTCCCAGAAGTCACTTGGGGTGTTATTTACATACAAAGTCTCTCAGGTGACTAGGGCGTGTGCGAGTCCTGGTTGACCTGCGGAGTTCAGTCGGAGGGGCGGCGTCGAGCAGGTCGGAGGGACTTTCTGTTTCTCCCTGCTCCGCCAATGAGGCCTCCGGGACCTCCTCGTGGGCGGTGACTTCTCCGGCTGTTTGGACTACCTCGATGGGGCGGCGCTGGATACCAGAATCCTCAGCTAAGTCCTCCGCTCCACTCGGGCTTGTATTTTGTGTTTCTGGTTGGTAGTCGTGGTCAGAGATGGGGTCGTCTAATTTGTCGTCGGTGTCTGCGGTTACTCGTTTTCTTAGTTGGTCAATATGTCTGCGCCAAACTCTCCCGTCCCCCATGTCTACCCTGTATGATTTGGGCCCCGTGATTTCTGTGATTGTCCCGGCCTCCCAGAGTGGGCCCTGTCCATAGTTCCTAGCATGTACCGGTGTTCCTATGGTGAACTCTCTAAGCTTCCTCTCCCCGCCCTTGAAGACCTCTGGGGAGTAATTGGGGTTGAGCCTATCTAGTATTCCTCGGAGTTTCCGCCCCATTAATAGTTTTGCCGGACTTCGGCCTGTGGCTGTACAGGGTGTGGAGTGCTGAGCTATTAGAAACCTGTCTATCCTTTCCTGCCAGTCTCCAGGGCTTAAGCATGAAAGGGCCTCCTTTGCTGACCTCACAAATCTCTCAGCCTGCCCGTTACTAGCCGGATGAAACGGGGCCGAAAGGACATGTCTGATCCCAAGTCCCGCTAAGTAACCCTCGAACTGTGTTGCGGTGAATTGTGGCCCGTTATTTGACACTAGGATGTCCGGTAACCCATGGGTGGCAAATAACTGTCTTAGCTCCCTGATGGTTGCATCGGTGGTAGTGGCCTTCATTAGCTTGATCTCCAACCATTTGGAGAATGCGTCTACGACGACCATGAAGGTCTGTCCGTGAAATGGGCCTGCAAAGTCAATGTGTATCCTGGACCAGGGTCCCTGGGGCCTTTCCCACTCCCTCACGGGTGCCGTTGGTGGATCTGATCTGGACTCTTGGCAGGGCTGGCATCTCCCCACCCACTCGGTGATGTCTCTGTCCATGCTGGGCCACCAGACGTAGCTCCTGGCTAGCCCCTTCATTCTTACAATCCCAGGGTGCCCCTCATGCAACAATGTTAAGACTTTTTCCCGTAAACATAAAGGAATAACAACCCGATCGCCCCATAGCAAACAACCCCCTTGCATTGTCAATTCATCCCGTTTTCCCATGAACGGTTTAAATTCCCCACTCCCAATCTTTTCCGGCCACCCCCTCATGACCCAACTTGCGACTGTCCAGATCACGTGGTCTTTGGTTGAGGCTCTTGCAACCTCGGCTGATGTTATGGGCCCAGAGTCCAAAACGTCTATCAGCAGGATGGGGATGCCGGGTGTGGGGTCTTCTAGGCTGTCGGGTAGTGGGCATCGGCTGAGTGCGTCCGCGTTGCCCATGTCCGCCCCTGGTCGATGTACCAGGCGATAGGAGTATGCTGCGAGGAAAATGGCCCAGCGTGGCATCCTGGGCGATAGTGCTGCCGGGGTTGGTCGATCTCCCGCGAGGAGACCCAGGAGCGGTCGATGGTCAGTGATTAGTTCAAAATCCCTCCCGAACAAGTACTCGTGGAATTTCTTTACTCCCGAAACGGCGGCGAGGGCCTCCTTGTCGAGCTGGCTATAATTTCGCTCGGCGCTTGATAGAGTTCAGGAGTAGTATGCGATGGGTGCTTCTAGGCCATTCGGGAGTCTATGGCTCAGGACGGCTCCCACCCCGAACGGGGACGCGTCACATGCTAGCACAAGGGGAAGCGTTGCGTTGTACTGTATTAAAAAACTTTCAGCTGATAGCAGTTTTTTAATGCCGGCGAATGCCCTGTCTTCAGCCTTCCCCCATTTCCAAATGGCTTTCTTGGTTAACAGTCTATGTAGGGGTTCTGCCACTGTTGCCTTGTCTTTAAGGAAAATGGCGTAAAAGTTTAATAGGCCCAGGAAAGCCTGTAGTTCTGCCTTGTCTTTGGGGGTGGGTGCTTCTTTGATTGTCCTGATCTTGCTCTCTGTGGGGTGTATGCCGGTGCCATCTACCCTGTATCCTAGGAATTTGACTGAGGGGACTGCGATCATACATTTGTTTCGTTTTACTCTGAGTCCTGCGTCCCTGAATTTCCTTAGGACCTCCCTCAGCCTCTCTCTTAGCTGCTGTTCATTGTCGGCGGTAATGAGCACGTCATCAAAATAGGGCACCACCCCGGGGATTCCCTGCAGTAGCCGCTCCATGGTACTTTGGAAAAGTCCGGGGGCTACGCTTACTCCGAATTGCAAGCAGGTGCACTTGAAGGCCCCTCTGTGGGTTACGATAGTCTGTGCCTCTGCGGTAGCGCCATCTACCGGCAGTTGCTGGTACGCCTGCGCAAGATCGAGTTTTGCGAAGATCTTGCCGGGGCCCAGGGAATGCAACAAATGGTGAACGATGGGCACTGGATAGGCGCTCTGCTGCAGGGCCTTATTAATTGTGCATTTATAATCAGCGCATATGCGCACTGATCCGTCCGGCTTTACCGGTGTCACAATTGGGGTCTCCCATTTGGCGTGGTCGACTGGAACGAGCACCCCTTGTTTGATTAATTTGTCCAGTTCAAAGTCAATTTTGGGCTTCAGGGCGAACGGTACCCGCCTAGGCTTTAAACGGATGGGTGCAATATTGGGGTTGAGATTAAACAAAATCGGGGTCCCCACATACTTGCCAAGCCTTTCGTCGAACACGTCCTGGAACTCTTGCATCAGGTCCTCTTTCAGGGTGCTTCGAACGTTCCTTACTCCGGTGAATCCCATGCCTAGGGCTCTAAACCAGTCCATGCCCAGGAGGCTTGGGAGGTTGTCGCTGACGATGGTGAGGGGCAGTTTCTCGGTAAACTCCCCGTACTGTACTTGGAACTCACCTCTTCCTTCGACGGGTATGCGGTTCCCCTGGTAGTCCTTCAGTCTGCGTTGCTGTGGCTGAAGCTGTGGCTTGTGTACGCTGGGGATGACTTTCTTTAGGTTCTCCCAAGACATGATGGATATCGGCGATCCCGTGTCGATCTCCATCTGGCACTCCTGTCCCTCGATTTCGACCGTGGTGTAGGTCTTTTCTCCGGGCGAGGTGCAGGTCTGTGCGATGTGTATGGTGTAGGCCCCAGCGTCTTCAAATTTCGCACCCTTCCGGTTTCCGCCATCTCTGTTGGGCCTTCAGTGTGGCGCCGGCTCGGATTGGAAGGTTTGGCCACGTGGTTTGTAGCTCTGGTGTGTCTTGGATCTGCAAACCCGAGTGATGTGGCCCCTTTTCTCACAGGAACGGCAAACGGCGTCCCTGAACTTACAGTTTTGTCGTGCGTGGGACCCTCCGCACCTGGCGCATCCGTCTCTGGGCTCCCTCCGGGCTGTGCGGGACTGCTCAGTGCGGTAGACCTCTTCTTCAGACTCCCCCTCGCTCGCGGTGCTTACGGCCTCTCGGTGCACTGGCGCCGTCTTCTGCGTTGTTTTGGTTAGGTGGGAGCTCTTTAGTTTCTCTGCAGCCTTTACTGACGACTCTTGTGCTCGTGCCTCGTCCAGGGCGATGTGAAGGGTCAGGTTTGACCTCGCGAGCAGTCTTCTCTGAAGCCGGCTATCTCTCACTCCGCAAATTAGTTGCTCTAGGAGCATCTCATCCAGGTCTCAGTACTCACATTGGGTTGCGGCCTTACGCAGGGCAGCGACGTACTCGCTGATCGATTCGCCCTCCTGCTGGAGCCGTTGCCGGAAATCGTAGCGCTGGACGTACTTCGATGGCGTTGGTGCATAGTGGTCTTTCAGCAGGGTCTGTAGCGTCGACCAGGAAATGTTGTGGACCGAATTCGGCTCCGACAATGCCTCGGCTGTGTCGAAGACCCTTGGCCCGCAGTGACTCAGGAACAGGGCTTTCTTCCGAACGTCCGGTAGCCCTTGCATGTCGTTTGCCACCATGAAGCACTCGAACCGAGACATGTAGGATCCCCACTTCTCTTCCTTGGGGTCGAAAGGCGCTGGCGGGGTGTAGGCAAACATCGTTTCGGGATTCTCCTGTGCTCCGCTCGCTCGCCTGGCTGGATTCGGATGCGGTCTCCGGTCCCCTTCTCCGAATATGGCTTCAGCTCTTTTTCTCGAGTGTGGCTTCAGCTCTCCTCTGCTTCTGGCCTCAAAATCCCACCTTCGTCGCCAATGTTAAGTTGGGTGAATGAGGACACAGCAAGGCAGAGTAGTTAGTGACAACAGCTCTTTATTCTATAGTGAGACTCCAGCAACTGACCCAGGGAGCCAGCTCCCTTTATATACCTTGCAGCTGTGGTGGTCAGCCAATCAGCTGAGGGTCAGTTAATTCGAACTTCCCGCCAAACAAACCTATTTACATAACACTATCTCTCCCCTGAAGGGAGCAGCCCAAGATCAGTCAGAGTTCAAAGCAATCAGAGAGGAACTTTCTTGGACCTTCAATTTGCTTCTGGAGGTTTCTCAGGTTGAGTCCCTGGGAACAGTGATGGATTTCAAAATTTTTTACTACCAGTTCTGTGGGTGTGGCTTGGTGGGCGTGGCTTGGTGGGTGTGGCAAGGGAAGGACACTGTAAAATCTCCATTCCCACCCCATTCCAGGGAAAGGATACTGTAAAATCCCCATTTCCTCCCAATCAGCTGGGACTTGGGAGGCAGAGAACAGGTGGGGGCAGGGTCAGTCAGAATTTTTACTACCGGTTCTCCGAACTACTCAAAATCTCCGCTACAGTTCTCCAAAACTGCTCAGAACCTGCTGAAACCCACCTCTGCCTGGGAAGGGCTCAAAATCAGGAGTTCTTGTGGTTGAGCGTTTTCCAGATTTGGAGCATTTCCTGAAACTCTTGGAGACGCTGCAAGTGTGGAATTTAAATCTTTGGGTTAAAACTAAGTGATGGGAGATTTCCTGCCCCTCTAAGTTTCTCATCCACGGAAGGAAGGGAAGGGAAATTAGAGGAGGAGAGAGGGGAAGAGAGGAGGAGAAGGAGAAGGGGAGGGAAAGTAGATAAGAGAAGAAGAGGAGGAGGAGAGAAAGTAGAAAGGAAAGAAAAGAGGGAGATGGTAGGTTGGAGGAGAAAGATTGTTGTACAATAAAAAAAAGGAAATGGAAGAAAGACAACACCGAACAAATACAAATATATTAAGATAAAGAATGAATTGTTAAAGAATAAAAGGGAATAAACATGAATAAATAGTAAAATTAGAATTTAAGGGCAAATGAAGATATCGTGTATGTAAGTAAGCATAGAAATAGTGAGATATGATAAAAAAAAAGTGGGGGGGGAGAAGATTTTGGCAAGAATTGTAATTGAGTAAAATATATTTGAATTTAATTAATTGTATAAGACAAGAAACGACCAATACTCTGTTCAAAAAAGATGTGGGGAAATGGGGGGGGGGAACCAATAAAACTTGTAAATGTGCAAGTTTCTCATCCACCTTCCAGGCTCTGGAGGGGCTCAGAGTTAATTCTGGGGGTGTCGTTTCTGCAGAGACCCCAAAGGTGACGGTGAGCAGCAGGACAGAGGTGGAGGATGGGATGGAGACGCACGTCTGCCGAGTCCATGGCTTCTACCCCAGGGAGATCGATGCCTCCTGGACGAGGGATGGGGAGGTCTGGCTACAGGACACCCTCCATGCGTCTGTGGCCCCCAATGCTGATGGGACCTATCACGACTGGATCGGCATCCGGATCAGTGCCAAAGAGAGAGACCGCTATCGATGCCACGTGGATCATGACAGCCTGCAGGAGCCTCTGGACTTGGAACTGAAGGGTGAGAGGCTGCAGGGAGGGGAAGGCTGGGCTCTTTGGCAGCCAGAAGGGTTGTGGGAGAGAAATCTGACCCCAATTGTGTCCAGGTGTGAATATACCTGAGCTTTAAGCCATTGGTTTTTCCAGTGTTGGAGGTTGGTGAAGCTGCAGGGACCAGACCATAGAACTGGCTTCAGGTGATGGAAGCTACAGAATCCCATCACAATACTTGGCCGATCCTGATGAAATGCCCTTAGATCCTCTCTGAGGCCTTCCCTGTTTCTTGCCCCCAACAGAAAAGCAGCAGTTATGCTGAGCACCAGAAAGAGATTTCCTTTTGTTTACAATTCCTGAAGTAGAAGAATCAGGAGGAATGTGGCAGCCCCTTTTCTGAAGGCAAATTCTGATTAAACCGGATGAACTGCAGCTGAGTTCAGGAAATGCAGAGAGTAGCTGGACTGATGCTTCAGGAGTCAGAAAAGAAAGTACCAAAATCTGAGTTTTTTCTCATTAGAGACTAACAGGATTTTAGCAGGAGCTTTAAAGGTCAAAAGGTCACTCTGTGTTGCTGCTCTAAGAAAGAACTTGCACATTATTTTATGATACGATACATGAATTCCCGAGGCTCAGCATAAAACCCAAGGAAAAGATCCCTCTCTCATAAGTGTCCCTAATGTTTTTTACACTGGACGTCCAAATTTGCAAAATTCTAATTCTAATTTTTTTATTGATGATTGTCACCACGATACAAGAAATATTCAAATGTAATTGTTATGCTGATATCCCAGGGAAAATAAAATATTTGTTTTATTTTTCTGGTTGTTTGTAGCAAGCATCAATTCACAAGTGGCATGATTGCTATTCAATGGGAATCCTGAATTTTGTGCAAGAGAAATTTAAATTTGAAGTTCCCTCCTCAAACCTGCCCCCACTCCCCCAAGCAATACCAATTTATGATGCTTTGCTAAGACCATACTTGGAATTCTTCATCCAGTTTTGGTTGCCACGATATAGAAAAGATGTTGAGACTCTGGAAAGAGTGCAGAGAAGAGCAAGAAAGAGGATTAGGAGCCTGGAGGCTAAAATATATGAAGAGCAGTTGCAGAATTTAGGCATTTCTAGTTTAATGAAAAGAAGGACTAGGGGAGACAGGATACGTTCCAATATCTCAGGGGCTGCCACAAAGAAGAGGGAGTCAAGCTATTCTCCAAAGCACCTGAGGGCAGGACAAGAAGCAATGGGTGGAAACTAAACAAGGAGAGAAGCAACCTAGAACTGAGGAGAAATTTCCCGACAGGGAGAACAATTAATCAGTGGAATGGCTTTCCTTCAGAAGTTGTGGCTGCTCCATCACCAGAAACATTTCAGAAGTGACTAGCTAGCCACTTGTCTGGAAGGGTATAGGGCAGCGGTTCTCAACCTGGGGGTCGCGACCCCTTTGGGGATCGAACGGCCATTTCACAGGGGTCGCCAAAGCCCTCTCTCGCCCCCCCCCACGCCTTCACTCACCCTCACTCTCTGCTCTGTTGGATCGCCGGCCATTCGCTTACCCCGCCCACTCCCAATCTATTGCTGCCTCCTGAGTCCCAGCTGATGGCTAGAGGAAAAAAAACTTTCTAAATTCTTGCCGTGGGGCTTCAAAGGGCCGCCCTATAGCCAGTGGTGGAATTCTGCCGGTTCCGCCCCGCCCCTTGCCCCGCCCCTCTGCACCACTATTTATTGCCAATAAATAGTGGTGGGCGAGGGGCGGGCGAGCCAGCAATTTAACAAATGGTTCGGTGTTTTTTTGTAATTTTATTGGCCCGCGGAGCTTCAGCATAGGCTAATTAGCCCTTGCTTAGATCAGCTCCCGACTCTCAGCTGATTTGCTCTCAGCTGTTTTGCTCAGGGCTCTGCTCCTTGTTTGCAAAGAGTGCTGGAGCAATTTTTTTTCCCCTAGCTATGCTGAAAAATGAAACTGAAAGTAAAGCAGGCTGTTGGCTTTGCTGTTGCTACAACTGTTGGAAAATTAGGCAGGCAGATTTCTTTTCTTTTTCCTCACCAAAAAAGGTAGGTGCAAACAATGGGAAATTTAGGGAAAAAGAGGAGAGTTCAAGATTTTAAAACACAAAAGAAAAAAAGCTCTATTTAACTAGGGAATTGTAATAATTGAGATTCTGTTAATTGTATATTGTGTTGAAAGCAGAAATGGTTAAGTTGTGGTTTGGAGGAATATATGGGGGAAATTATTTGGTTTATTATTGTTGGTAAATATAATTAACTGATTTGTAAGAAATTGGATTGCATGGAAATAATTGGAATATTCATGTTCATATTGATTAATATACAAAAAAGGTAGTTATATAACTAATTGATTTATATTAAAATGTTGAATTTATATTGAACAACTGTAATATTACATAATTAACCAATGTGAGGATGGATATAAAAAATAGATGACAATGGGAAGGGGTATAATATAGAATAGAAGGGAAAAATTGAATTTGATTAAGATTAGAGATGAGGATGAAGGGTAATATTGGTTTTTTACAAAAATAGATGAGGAATAAATATGGCAAAAAGGAAATATAGAAATTGTAAATTTAATTGAAATGACTAAACACTGTTTAAATGTGTGAACCGGCCAAATACTCTGTTCAAAGAAAATACATTGTATGTTTGTATGTGTGTTTCTAATTATTGTTATTTATTCATATTTGTTCTCTTTTATTCTTTAAAGTTTAACAATTCATTCTTTATCTTAATATCTTTATATTTGTTTGGGGTTGGCTTTCTTCCTTTCATCTTTTTTATTGTACAGCAATCTTTCTCCTCAAACCTACCACCTCTCTCTTTTCTTTCCTTCTTACTTTCTCTTCCTCCCCCTCTTCTTCTCCTCCCTACTTCCTCTTCCTTTCTCCTTCTCCTCCTCTCTTCCTCCCTCTCTTACTTTCACTCCTACTCTAATTTCCCTTCCCTTCCTTCATCTCTCTCTATTGCTGTATCCTTTTATGCATATGGACTACTCTGAGGGCTGAAAAAGTTATTTCTGACTGGTCCTCGCACTTTTGACCAGTCCTCAAACTTATGACTGTCCTCACATTTTACGTTTTTGCCCTCTTATCACCATGGTGAAAAGAAGCAGTTGTGAAATGAGTGACATGGTTGTTAAGAATGCTGCACGGGCATAAATGTGAGGATGGTCATAAGTGTGAGGACCAGTCAAAAGTGCGAGGACCTGTCAGAAATGACTTTTTTCAGCCCTCTGAGGAGTCCCTTACACATAGCCATGGCCACCCGGTCACATGACCAGTTAGCCACGCCCACCCAGTCACATGACCTCCAAGCCATGTCCACAAAATAAGCCACGCCCACAGAACCGGTAGTAAAAAAAATTAGAACCCACCCCTGGTTGGGGGTCACCACAACATGAGGAACTGTATTAAAGGGTCGCGGCATTAGGAAGGTTGAGAACCACTGGTATAGGGCCTCTGGAATGAGCAGGGGGTTGGACTGGAAGACCTCCAAGGTCCCTTCCAACTCTGTGACTCCGTTATTCTATTTCTGCCATTTGTGGGACCATCCAGAAGTCGGATATCACCATATTCCATTTTTCATGCTGAAGTTCTGGAAGCACAAATTATAATTTTTTGCTATTCCTGGACTGGCCAAGGAAAATGAAAGTGTATATTTAAAAAAAAGTCTAGGTGATATGAACTATTTTACCTTAAATAATAAAATGCAAACACTCAAACTGAAGAAAAATGCATACAGATCTGCCCATTTCCACTCAGGGTCATGGCTTATTGGAGCAGCCTATAAAAACAACAAAAATGTTTTTGTTTAGCAAACTTTATTTACATTATTGTGTTGGTGAAGTTTTTGTTTTGCAAGCTGCTATGAGTCACAAGGTGGCAAACGGCTGTTTTTGAGTGGAAAAGCCAAAGATGAATTCAGTTGCCTTCATGCTGGGCTGGGGTGAGAAGGAGGCAGCGTCATGAGGACACGTCCTCTAACAACAGTTAGCAAGGCGTCTTCGTGTTACCTTGAGAAGGACACAAAAATGAGCCCATGGAGTTTTTAATTTTGGGTATTTCCAGCTTTCACTTCTTTAGGTCTCTTCCCTGATTGGGAGGATTGTTCTCTGTCAATGATCTGCTCTTACTCCCCATTCAGAACCAACCAATTCAAAATCCAACCTGGGGCTCATCATTGGCTGCGTTGTGGCTGCTCTTCTCCTGGTGTGTCCGATTGTTGGGATCCTGGTATTCTTCAGTAAGTATCTTTTGTGGGGGAGGGTGATGGAAGGAAGATGGGGAGATTCCCCCCAAGTCTCTCCCTTTGGGAAACTTATCAGCTTCAGAAGTCCTGTTTTCCCAGCCCTCTTGGGGAGCATCTGAGATCTCAGGCTCACACTGGGACTCCAGTCTTAATTCAGCTGAGTCTGAGATTCAGGCAGTCCTGTCTTCTTCTGAGCTGGGAAGAGGCATCCCAGTTCTGTCCCTCTCAAAGGCTTTGATCAAAGAGCAGCAGAGAAGGATTTCCTGTGACTCCTGAGGACGTGGACAGGATTCTGGGGAGGTTAAACGCAACCACATGTTTACTGGACCCGTGTCCCTCCTGGTTGGTACTGGCTACCTGGGAGGTTACGCGAGGCTGGCTCCAGAGGATTATAAATGCTTCTTTGGGGGTGGGTTTCCTGCCGCCTACTTTGAAAGAGGCGGTGGTGAGGCCCCTCCTTAAGAAGCCTTCTCTGGATCCGGCTGTTATGGCTAACTACCGTCCTGTCTCCAACCTTCGCTTTATTGCGAAGGTTGTTGAGAGTGTGGTTGTGCAACAGCTCCCGCAGTACCTGGATGAAACCGTCTATCTAGACCCGTGCCAGTCTGGCTTCAGGCCTGGGTACAGCACGGAAACGGCATTGGTCGCGTTGGTTGATGATCTCTGGAGGGCTCAGGACAGGGGATGCTCCTCTGTTCTGGTCCTATTAGATCTCTCAGCGGCTTTTGATACCATCGACCATGGTATCATGCTGCACCGGCTGGAGGGATTGCGGGTGGGAGGCACCGTGTTGCGGTGGTTCTCCTCCTATCTCTCTGACTGGTCGCAGTCTGTGTTGGCAGGGGGGCAAAGGTCGACCTCGAGGCGCCTTTTTTGCAGGGTGCCACAAGGGTCGGTCCTCTCGCCACTCCTGTTCAACATTTATGTGAAGCCGCTGGGTGAGATCATCCGTGGATTTGGGGTGTGATGCCATCTGTACGCTCATGACACTCAGCTGTACATCTCCACCCCAAACCACCCCAATGATTCCCTTGAAGTGATGTCCCAGTGTCTGGAGGCCGTGCGGGTCTGGATGGGGAGGAACAGGCTTCGACTCAACCCTTCCAAGACCGAGTGGCTGTGGATGCCGGCATCCCGATATAGCCAGCTGGCGCCATCGCTGGCTATTGGGGGCGAGTCATTGACCCCCACAGAGGGGGCTCACAACTTGGGCGTCCTCCTGGACACACGGCTGTCTTTAGAAGAGCATATGACGGCCGTGGCCAGGGAGGCTTTTTATCAGGTTCACCTGATACGCCAGTTGCGCCCCTTTCTGAGTCAGGATTCCTTATACACAGTCACTCATGCTCTTGTCACTTCTCGCCTGGACTACGCTAACGCTCTCTACATGGGGCTCCCCTTGAGGAGCACCCAGAGGCTCCAACTGGTCCAGAATGCGGCCGCACGGGTGATCACGGGAGCGACATGGCGCTCCCATATAACACCTCTCCTGCGCGAGCTGCACTGGCTCCCGGTGGTCTTCCGGGTGCGCTTCAAGGTGTTGGTTCTCACCTTTAAAGCACTCCATGGCTTAGGGCCAGGGTATTTACGAGACTGCCTGCTGCTACCGATAACCTCCCACCGGCCAATACGCTCTCACAGAGAAGGCCTCCTCAGGGTGCCGTCGGTCAAGCAATGTCGGCTGGCGGCCCCCAGGGGGAGACCCTTCTCTGTGGGAGCACCCGCCCTCTGGAACGAGCTACCTCCCGGAATACGGCTGATTCCGGATCTCCGCACTTTCCGTAAGGCCCTGAAGACGTTTTTATTTCAGCAAGCCGGCCTGGCCTGAATAGGTTTTAGGGGGTTTTTAATTGTATTGCTAGGGGTTTTAAATTGGGGCGGCCGTTTAATTTAATTTATTTTTAATTCTTTTAACTTTTATATTGTATGTTATTTTAATTCTCGGCTATTCACCGCCCTGAGTCCCTTCAGGGAGAAGGGCGGGATATAAATTTAATAAATAAATAAATAAATAAAACCTTCCTCCCCTCCCAGCTGCTGCTGCTGCTTTCCCCAATTCCCCTCCATCCATCTCAGAGGCAGCAGGTCTCTCTTGGGGCAAATCAGGAGATACATTTGTATTTTGAAGATCTTTCTGTCTTTGTTCATGGGACAAAGTGACTGTGAAGTATCTCCTGGGGTTCTTTCTTGTACGGAGGGAGAGTTTGGATGATCTCTTGTGGCTTCTTTTGAGCTTTCACTGATTTCTATCCTTGCAGATATACGTCAGGATGGCTACCAAGCAACGCCAAGTGAGTGAATTGTCCTCTTTACATGTAATCTCCAGTTTAGAGCAGGGACCAGAGGCAACATTGTTTGATCGTGGGTGCAAGAAAGGACAGGACACGCTGGAACAGTTAAACTTTTATTGGCTCCGTAAATTGCAATGGCAATCTCAGCCGCGGCAGCTCCTTTTATAGCTCGGAGCTGTCCGCAGCTTCAGCCACTGACGGCCCTATGAAATTCCCGCTCTAAATTCTGATTGGTCCATTTATTTTTTTGGTTGTTACTTCCTTCCTCCCCCGGATGACATGGTGTGTCATGGCTGATGTCCGGTTCCTCCTCCTGGAGTTCAGGTAAGTTTCTGCAGCCTATATTCGGGGTTGAGTTTCTTGTGGCGCTATCTTGTGGTTGTGCTTGTGCTTGAGGTAGGGTCTGGTCACTTGTAGTGTGTCTTTCTGGTGAGTCAGGTTCGTTTCTCGTTATCCTGCCTCTGAGTTGGTCGATGTGGCGCTTCCACTGTCGGCCATCCTCGGTCTCTAGCCTGTATGACAACGGACCTGTTATTTGTGTTATTTTTCCTGGTATCCATAGAGGGTTTCTGCTGAAGTTTTTAGCATAGATTTTGTCTCCTACTTGGAATTGCCAGATCTTGCTTGTGGAGTCCGTTGGCTTCTGTATTGTGGGTGCAATCTGTCTAAAGGGGACCGCAGCTTTCTTCCCATTAGTAGTTCTGCTGGGCTTCGGTGAACGGATGCGCTTGGTGTAATGTGCTGTATGGTGAGTAATTTGTCTATTTTGGCCTGCATGTCCCCGGGCCCCAACCTTTCTAGTGTCTCTTTGGTTGTTCTAACCATTCTTTGCGCCTGTCCATTCGTGGACGGTTTTCCCAGTGCTGATAGTGTGTGACGGAGTCCTTGGTTGGCTAGGAACATCTCAAAGGCATTAGCTGTAAACTGGGGCCTGTTGTCGGAGACTAACAAATCCGGTAATCTGTGTGTTGTGAACAGTCTCCTTAGGACTCGTATTACGGCCTCCGTTGTTGTTGTTGTCATCAGGAACACTTCCAGCCATTTCGAGAACGCGTCCACTATAATTAGGAACATGTTGCCCTGGCATGGTCCCGCAAAGTCTATATGTATTCTTGACCAGAGTGTTCCAGGGTTTTCCCAATCATGTGTGGGAGCAGTGTGGGATGCCGGTCAGGATTCCTGGCAGGGTGTGCAGGTCGCTACCCATGTCTCGATTTCTTTGTCAATTCCGGGCCACCATACATAACTTCTGGCCAACACTTTCATTTTTACTATTCCCGGGTGCCCCTCGTGTAAGCAAGCTCAGAATGTCCCTTCTCAGTGCCGCGGGAATTATTACTCTGTCCCCCCCATAAGATGCACCCTTTTAGACTTGACAGTTCAGTTTGTCGGGATTTGAAAGGTTGGAATTCTGAGTCCACACTCGCTTCCGGCCAGCCCTTCCAGACCCAATTTAAAATGCGTGCCAGGGTTTTGTCTTTCGCAGTGGCTCTCGCGGTGTCTGCCGCTGGGACTTGGGTGCTTTCCATGGTTTCGATGAGTAGCATCGTTGCTACGGAAGCCGGGTCTTCTTCGATTACCGGAAGTGGGCATCTGCTGAGGGCGTCAGCGTGGTCTATCGTTTTGCCAGGCTTGTATTTTAGTTCATAGTTATAGGCTGTTAGAAATTCTACCCAACGGAGCATTCTTGGCGAATGGGGGGTGTTGGTTTGTCTCTGGTGATGATACCCAGTAGAGGTTTGTGGTCGGTGATGAGTTCGAATCTCCGGCCGTACAAATATTCATGGAACCTTTTTATTTCGGCTACTGCAGCCAGTGCCTCTTTATTTCTTATTTCATTTTTTTATTTTTATTTATTTTTATATGCCGCCCTTCTCCGGAGACTCAGGGCGGCTTACAATGCGTTAAGCAATAGCCTTCATACTTTTGTATATTTTATACAAAGTCAGCTTATTGCCCCCACAAACCGGGTCCTCATTTTATCCACCTTAGAAAGGATGGAAGGCTGAGTCGACCTTGAGCCTGGTGAGAATTGAACTTGCAGTAATTGCAGGCAGCTGGATGTTAAATGCTGCCTTAGTAGAAGGCATTAGCCTCTTACACCACTCAGGCTTTATCTAGCTGGCTGTAGTTCCTTTCTGGCTTGGACAATATTCTGGAGTAAAATGCTATGGGGGCTTCTCGACCGTTTGGCATACAATGGCTCAATACAGCTCCGATGCCGAAGGGTGATGCGTCGCACTTCAAACGGATCAGCAGGGTTCCGCTATACTGGACTAACACTCTGTCCGATGTTAGTAGTGTCTTGATTTCTTCAAATGCCGTTTTCTCTTTCTTCCCCCACCTCCATTCCGTTGTCTTGTCCAGTAGCCGGTGGAGCAGTTCAGCAACTGTAGCTTTCTGTGGTAGGAAGATGTTATAAAAATTCAGTAATCCTAAAAAAGCTTGTAGTTCTGTTTTGTTTTTCGGTGTGGGTGTTTCTTTAATTGCCCTCAGCTTTCCGGGAATGGGTCGTATTCCTGCCTCATCGATTAAATATCCCAGGAATTCTACTCTTTTTTCTGCCAGGTTGCATTTATTCTTTTTTATTTTGAGCCCCACTTCTCGGAATCTGGATAGTACTTCTCTCAGGTGGTGTTTTAGTTGTTCTAAATTCCTAGCCAAGATGAGTATGTCGTTGAAGTATGGGACGACTCCCTCGATGCCTTGTAATAATCGTTCCATTAGGCTTTGGAACAAACCTGGGGCTACGCTGACTCCGACTGTAGCCGCTTGCACTTGAACGCACCCCTGTGCATTACGATGGTTTGTGCTTCGGCTGTGGCCTCGTCTACGGGAAGCTGCTGGTATGCTTGTGCCAGGTCTAATTTTGTGAATATCTTCCCGCGGCCCAAAGAATGGAGTAGGTGTTGCACTACTGGCACTGGATAGGCGCTCTGCTGTAGGACCTTATTGACTGTACTTTTATAATCCCCACAAATGCGCACCAACCCATCTGGCTTTACTGGGGTGACGATGGGTGTCTCCCACTTTGCATGATCGGTAGGCTCCAATGCTCCCTGAGCAACTAGCTTGTCTATTTGCTCGTCTATCTTGGGCCTTAGAGCAAAGGGAACTCTCCTGGGTTTAATCTGGACAGGGGCAACATGGGGATCTAGGTTGAAAGATATTGGGGACCCCGTGTACTTTCCTAATTCGCCGTTGAATACTTCCGCAAATTCTGTCATCAGGTCTTCTTCCCAGCCGTCGTCATTGATGTGGTCGATGCCTGTTACTGCCAGTCCCAATGGCTCAAACCACTCCAGACCCAAAAGGCTAGGTCTGTCCCGGTCCACGATTGTGAGGGGTAGCCTTGCTTTGAATGTCTTGTATGCCACGTTGAATTGCCCCATGCCAACTACTGGGATTCTGTTCCCTTGGTAGTCCACGAGGGTCAGTCTTTGTTGTTTTAGGGCGCTGGGTTTGATACCTGGAACCAGCTGTTGAATTGTTCTCCAGGAGACCATTGAGAGGCAGGACCCCGAGTTGACCTCCATTTTGCAGGGTCTCCCCTCTGTCAATTCTGAGATGCTGACATGATTACAGTCACCGCCATTTTGCTGGATTTTCCCGCGCTTGTATGCCCCACTATTATCGTTTGGTGGGTCTCACCACGCTCTGATTCAGAGTCCTCGCCTCTGTGGCTTCTTCCAAATGGTGTTTTTTTTCCGCTTGGTTTGGCTGATTGGCTGGGTGGTGGTGAGTTTGGTGGGCAGTTCAGGCAGCTTCTCCTGGATGCTGGCTGAGATGCTCTGCAGGCTCTCGTTATATGCCCTTTTCTGTCACACCGTTGGCATATAGCATCGCGGAACCTACACTCCACCCTAGGGTGGTTTCCTTTGCAGCCTGCGCACCGGAATTCTAGTCTTCCTTTGCCTCATGACTTGCCTCTCCGGTCCGTTTGCAATTGGTGGACCTCATCTTCCACTTCTTCTTCAGAGTCCAACTGCATGTCCTCATAGTGGATCCCAGATTCCTCTTTACCTTGTGGCCCTTTATTTACTCTTTTCATGGCCGCCGCAGATTTCTGGGATGCCTCTGATGTTATGGCTTCTTCTAGTGCCTCCTTGAATGTTATTTGAGGCCTAGCTAGTAGCCTGCTTTGTAGTGTTAGGTCGTTCAGCCCCAGCACTAAACGGTCACACATGGCTTCCTCTAAGTTGAGGAAATCGCATGCTGCAGCTATCTCCCTCAAGGTCGCGACAAATGCGCTGATCGATTCGCTCTTCCTTTGGTCCCTCGGGTAGAGTTCGTGCCTCCTTACCAGGGATGAAGCTTGGGGAGTGTAGTGTGCCTTGAGGATGTTCTGGAGATCTGTCCAGGTCATCGTCCTCAATTCTGTAGGGGCTGCGAGCACTTTTGCCATCTTAAATACTGCGGCTCCACAGTGTGTGAGGAAGATCACTCTCTTCCTCTGTTCTGACAGACTTAGGAGATCATTCCCTTCCATGTACATATGAAATCTCTCCATGTACGACTCCCAGTCTTCTCCCGCTGGGTTGAACGGTGCTGGTGGGTTGATGGAAGGCATGATGATAGCCGATGATCTGACCGATTCGTGTGGTCGTTGATTGAAGGTGGCTGTTGATTGCGGTAGAGGTAGTTCTTCGTTCTCTGTCCTACAATCCCACCTCCGTCGCCAGTGTTTGATCGTGGGCGCAAGAAAGGACAGGACACGCTGGAACAGTTAAGCTTTTATTGGTTCCGTAAATCGCAATGGCAATCTCAGCCGCAGCAGCTTCTTTTATAGCTCGGAGCTGTCCGCAGCTTTAGCCACTGACGGCCCTATGAAATTCCTGCTCTAAATTCTGATTGGTCCATTTGAATCTGTCATTCAATATTCAACAAACATCACTTGAGAGGGATGTGTGTATGTATGTTTGTGTGTGCTATCTTCCTCTTCCTTCGAAGAGGCTGGGGAAGATGGGCCCCCTTTTCATTACAGCTAGGCCAGGGGTGGG